CATGCCAGTAAAACACACTTCTCAGCCTGCTTAAGTGCTGCTGGGTACTAGTGCTGTATTCTGGTAGGTCAGGTCACAGGTCTCCACAGCACAGCGCCGGCCTGGGCCTCGCTGCTCAGCCTCTGGTCCAGTGCCCTGCCACTGGGCCCTGGAAGGCATCAGGTGACAGTTGCCACTCTCAGGAGAGATGGGGTGGGACTCTAGGCTCCTGGCTTCAGCCTGGCCCAGCACGGGTTGTGGAGACCATTTGGGAGTGAACCAGTGGATGAGAAATTTTTTTGTCTCCCCCTCTCGTTCTATAACGCCACCTTTGAAATACATACTTTTTTTTAAAGAAAGTAAAAAACAAATTAAAAAAATAATTATTATTGCAATAATGGCCACATGATCCTGTATGAAAATATCCCCTTCTTTTCAAGCGCATTCTGAAATTTGCAAGTGAGAGCTGAACCGGGCCTAGAATTTTCCTTAAGGTGATTCACTGAAAAAATAAAGCAAGGGCATGGATGGGAATGGCAGTCATTACTGAGTTGTGATGGGCAAAGCGAGCTAATTCCCAGACCCATTTTGCCCACCCTGGCCATTCCTCAGACCACTCACTGATGATCAAATAAGTGACAAAGTATTGATCTCAATAAAGCAGCCACGAGGGCTGGGCTGGAGGGGTGGTGGCGGCAGTGGGCAAGGTTACAGGTCCAGCCTCTGGCCCCCGGCAGCCTTCCTGGCGGCACGCTCTCATTGAGGAGCTCAGGAGTCCAAGCTGTGAGGACTGAGGACGCCAGCCCAGCCACAAGGCGCGGCCTTTTGAAGCCTGAACTTGCTAAACCACAGGAAGCGAGCCTGCTCACACTTCTGCACCCAAAAGGGAAGGCTGCGTGCGGAAATCTCATCACTCTTTCCCTCGGGTTTAGGCGTGAGGGACCAGAAAAGTTGTTTGTTTTTCTAAATGGCAATGATGCAAAAATAACTTCTTATTTATTTATATTGGAAAGGCAGATTTACAGAGAGGAGAGACAGAAAGATCGTCCATCTGCTGGTTCACTCCCCAAGTGACTGCAATGGCTGGAGCTGAGCCAATCTGAAGCCAGGAGCCAGGAACTTCCTCCAGGTCTCCCACATGGGTGCAGGATCCCAAGGCTTTGGTCTGTCCTCGACTGCTTTCCCAGGCCACAAGCAGGGAGCTGGATGGGAAGTGGAGCAGCCAGGACATGAATCAACACCCATATGGGATCCTGGGGCACGTTCAAGCGAGGACTTTAACCGCTAGGCTACCCTGCTGGGCCCAACGAAAACAACTTCTAAAAATCCTCACCACGTAGTCACCATGTACTGGGCATTTACGATGTGCGAAGCCAGCACAACACTTTGTCCCGGCCATGGAAGCGGTCCTGGTGGGCTACCCGATGAAGCAGCATGTCGGACCCTAAGGAACAGAGATGTCCCGAGGAGTCAGCATGGGAAACGGAATCCAACGGTGATGTTTATTCCCATGGCCAAGTCTCTCCACTGCACATCTGAGCGTTAAGATGCCCCAGGTGGCTCAGGCCCTGCTCTAGGGGGCGGCCGCAGCGCCAGGCCTCCTGCAGGTGCAACCACCATCCGTACTGTTGAGACAGAAGTTGGAGGGGGCTTCTCTGCACCAGGCCCCACCAGCCCAAACTCAGTCACTCGTTCCAAAGGTTCCCCAAGGCAGACGGAAACTGACTTTCCAACAGATAAGGGGAGAAGGAAAGAGATGGCAGTGGGCAAGTCCCCGACAGGTCAATTTGAGCCAGTGTGGTCAGGAAGTCCCCTCCCAGTCCCCCTCAGCCCCGCATGGCCTGTGCCAGTTCCTCTCTGCCTCCTCTGCTGTGCTCTCTGCATTTTGTACATGATGGCCCCTGATTCATGAGCCACACACACAGAAAACAAGACACTTAGCTCCATCTGTGGCAACCTTGTCTTCCCACTAATCTCCGCCCCACCAGGGACTGGACAGGCTCTGTCCCGCCCCACCCTGGAGCAAGCAGACAGGCCCTGCGGGCAACCTGCCCCACCTCTGCGTGAAGGGTGGTGGGGGTGGGGATGCTCCACCTTTCCACTTGAACTGGATTCTAATATCCTTCACAGCTTTTTTAACACCCCATTCTCAGGCCAAGGCCTCAGGGCTTGGGAGAAAGGTGGTGAGGTGGGGGTCGGGGTGTGAAGGCAGCCAGGTGTTTGGGCTTGTGGTGGAGAGGTGAGGGTGCCCCTCTCAGAGGAGGGGTCCTAGCGTCCATCAGCAGGACCACAGGGAGCAAGGACGTGCCCCAGGCTGGCGGGAGTCTCTAGGCAGCTTCTCTGAGCTCGCTCTGCGGCCCCCACCCTGTGGACCCCTCAGCCGGGCTTCTCCAGGGCACACAGGCGCTGGAGCCAGAGGCGATGATTAGTAACCGTTGCCCTCTGGTGGTGGCTGAGGGTAGTGCGACTTGCGCCTGGTCCTGGCTCCAGTGTTGCCAGAAAATGTAGGCAGGGATAGCCTTAGTACACCTGCAGGCCTCAGACCACAGGCTTCTGTGGCTCCAGAATTCTGGGGGGAGCCCAGGTGACCAGGGCTGAGGGTCTAGAGGACGAGGAGGAGGTTAGAGAGAAGGCACATGAGAAACGACAGAGATGAGAGAGGCCAGGAGGGGTTCCTCTACCTCTTGGAAACCATCCCGGACTCTGGCCAGGGGCACGCAGAGGGTTCCTTTGCCAGCACACACAAGACTCAGCTCCCAGCAGCTCCTGAGAGTCTCAGACTCCTGCCCCAGCTTTAGGGACGGGGGTGTCTTTCCTCCCCTAGGCAGCGAGTTGGGTTCCTGGCTCACCACCCCCCGCCCGGGTTGGCTCAAAGCCTCTGGCATAGCTACTCACCAGCTGCCGGCCAGCCTGTGCATCCACGGTGTTCTGGTGCCCAGCAGCTGCTGGGCGGCGCCCCAGCTGCACCTGCCCAACGTGAGCTGCAGGATGCGGTCAGGAAAGGAAGCCGGGGCCCCGCGCCCAGTCACCCTGGGGATTCCCAAGAGTGGCTCACAGAGGGCAACCAGAGGGCACAGTCTGGGTTGCTGAGCATGCACTCCTCACCCCAGCCCCGGAGCCAACAGAGGGCACGGAGAGCACAGGGAGGGGCTTCCTTCCCTCCCCCCACGTTTCACCCCAAACATCCCCCCTTTGCCCTGCTGCCCCCACCATTCCGGCCAACCACCTGTGTAGGGAGATGGAATCGGCAGAATCTGTCTTGAGATTCCATCTGCCGCTTACTAGTTCCGGTTTTAGACTGGGGCATTGACTGTCCTTATGGGGCGCTGGGACCCACCTCCTTGTTCTGGAGCCTGGGGGCCTGAGTCTGGCCTGGGCAGGGGGATAGAAAGCAGGAGGGTGCCAGCTGGAGTCTCATTTCCTCTCCTCCAGCCACAGGGCCCCACCCTCACCTCACCCTTCTTACCTTGTAAGCCCCGCCCTCAAATACTGGGAGCCGGCTGAGTTTCCAAAGCTGGTACATGAATCACTTTGTGGCTTATAAATCAGTCTGATTTTATCCCAGGCCCCAACTTGCTGGGAAGGCAGAAAAAATTCCATTTTCTTATACAGGACCCCGAGGGCTTAGGGGAGCCCCCAAAGAAAGTGCCTGACCTCACCCTTCCTGCTCCGGCTCCTTTCGCAGCCGGGGCTCCCCTCTCCCTACACACCAGGGAAGCTGCCCGTCTGGGGACCCAATTCCCACCCTGCCCATGTCCGGCCGCTTCCCTAGGGTACCCTGGAAACTCCTAGCCACGCCATTTGTCAAGTCCCCTGGCGTGGTCTCAGTGGGGATCTGCCACTGTGTTTCCGTAAGCAAGCACTTGATGCTGGGTGACTCCAAACAGAAGCTAACCCAGCTCCCACGTCCTTGGTGGGACCCCATCGCAGACAGCGGATGTGTACAGGGCTCCCGGGAAAGGGGGTGAGGGGATATAACCTAGTGAAGGAGCCTGAATGGGGGCGGGGGCACCACTTCACTTCCTTTCCACCGGAATCCAGGCTTCCAACACTGGTAGGGAGCAGGGTGTGCATAGGGGGTGTTACCGACCAATCCTGCTGTAGGCTAAGTGCCCTAGAGGGAACAAGTACGCATGCATTTAAAGATACTTTCCCTCTCCGCCCTTAAGCGTTCCAACACTCCCCTTTCCGTGTTTTCCTCAATCTTCACCTCCCGCTCCCTCCCCCATCCCCGGGACAGCTCGGCCCGGCTACCTCCTCGCAGTGGACGCATCTCAACCCGCTCTCCCAGGCCAGAAGCCGTGCTCCCTTTTCGCGCCTGCCCCAGGCTGCAGCCTAGAGCCCCGGGTGGCCCTCTGCGAGGCCATCCCCGCTCCAGGCCTGGGCTGCGCACGGGCGCCCTCCTGCGATGGGGCTGCAACTTAGAGCACCTTTGTGGAACAAATGAAAGCCTAGCCAGGGAATGAATGAATGAGGAATGAATGGGAGAAGGAGGGGCCGCCGTGGTACCCAGAGAGCGGGAGGAGGGGCTCGGGGAGCGGCGGGTGGGTGCGGGGAGCCTTTGTCGGCCCCCAGTCCCAGGACTGCGCCGGACGCGGGAGGGGAGGCCGCCCTGGCTGGACCAGGCGCCCCGGTGCGCATTCAGGATGGGGGAGGTGGGCAGGCGTCGCCGCGGTCGCCTTTCATCCGCTTCTGTCCCCCGCCTCCACTCCCGGGGTCTCCCGGAATGAAGAGTGCCCCCTGCCCGGCCGGAGCGCGCGGATGAAAGGCGGCTTCGGACCCACGGGGGAGCCAGCTCCCGCCTGGGCCGCGGAAACTGCCAGCGCCGGGGGTGTGCCGTCCGACGCGCGCGCCCGCCGGCGGGAGGAGGGGGCGGCCTCGACCCTCCAGCAGTCGCCCCCGCGGGACGGACCCCTGGCGGACACCCGGGCGCCCAGACGACGCGCCGCCGCTTCCAGGCTGCGGGGCAAGGAGCCCTAGTCCCCGCTCGCTGCGTCCCCCTCCGGGCCGGGGGCGTTGGTATGCCCCAGGGGACAGATGTCTCGGGATCTTTAACATTTGGGATGCTGCAAATGCCGAAGTTAAATGAAATACCTCCGGGGAGGGAGGGTCGAGGGGAGGCCCGGGCGGCGAGGAGGCGGCCCCGACCCGCAGGTTCCGCCGGCGCGAGGCGCGCGCGGGGGGCGCACGGCGCGGGAGCTGCCCGGGACAGGTAAGGGGGACGCGCGCGGGGGCGTGCGGCGGCGGGGGAAGCGGCGAGCTCCTGACCCACGTTCTGCAGCCGCGGCGGAGGGGCCTGTGGGCAGCCGGGCGATCCGTGCCGGGGGCGGCTACCCGAGTGGCTGCCCGCGGCGCCCGCTTCCAGCCCCGCAGCCCCGCAGCCCCGCGCCGGCCACCTTCCCCGCGCCCGAGGATCCCGCGGGCAGGTTCTGGGCGCCGGGACGCAGTCAGACAAAAGGAGCGGCGTCCCGGCCGGCTTGGAGGAGGACGGCTCGGTGGGGGAGGGGAGCGGGGCGGGCCGGACAAAGGCGCCCTTCAGAGACGGCCCCGAGGTCCGGTGGCGGGCGCATTCCCGGCGGCCCCGACCGCCCCTCCGGGGCCCGGGAGGGGGAGGCGAACACCTTTCTGGATGGGCCGGGACCGAGTGGCAGCGGGAGACGGCTGGGGTGGGGGGAGGGGGTCTCCGTCCCCTCGTGCCGGGAGGGTCCCGGGCCGGCGGCTTGCTTCCCAATTCATTAAGTTTCTGGAGTGCGCGAGGCCGCCCTTGGCCGTGGACGGCGGGACGTCGCCCGTGTTGTAAAGCACTCCGGGTGCGGCTCACGGGCGCCCTAAAGGAGTGAAGGCGCGCCCTTTCCAGGGGTCCCCCCCGCGGGGCCGCCGGGGGCGTTCCTGGCTCGGGACTGGGTCCTAAACCAACACCCGAAGGGGAGGGGCGCCTTTCTCTTCCGGGGGAGTTGCCGAGCCCGGATTCCAGGTGCGCCCGCCGCTGGGCGCGAGCCCCGCTTCCCACCTGCCGGTGGCCGCGGCCACAGAGCCCCCGGGCGGCGCGGAGCGCGGCGTGAGGGTCCCAGCTGACCGCTGCGGGACACCGACTGTCGGATTCCAAGCTGGCCTTTCAGGGCGATGGGCTGGATCTAGCGGGGCGCTCTCGGCGTGAAGCTTGGCTCACTAGTTCCCTACCGGCCCCCTGACCGCCCCAGGATCTGCGGGGCCGGTGTCGGGATTGGGAGGAAGCGCCGAGGGTCAGTGCGAGCTCGCTGCACGGATGGATGACCTGGTCGTTGTGCACGGAGGCATCTGGATGGAATTCAGGGCTTTTCCTGAAATGCTGTTTATGCCCACTGCTTATGAGGTGCTTCCCTCGCTGGAGTGCCTACGATAGCCAGGGCTGGGCCAGGCCTAACCCACGAGGCGTAAACTAACCGAGTCTGCCAGAGTGCTTGAGCCAGCACCTGCTGCCTCCCCAGCTGTGCGTTAGCAGAAAGTGGAACTCGGGACACTTGTGTGGGGTACAGGAGTCCCTAGCGGTGTCTTAACCGCCCTACCAGACACCCACCCCATCATTTTATTTGACAGTGTTCAAACTGAGGATCTGTGACTGATTCTAGAAACTTCCACCAGCCTCCACCTGGAGCTGGGGGATGGGCCAGGAGGGAGAAAGTGCTCGGCCTGGGATAGGTGGAGTCTGCTGTATTGTGATGCACTGTGGGTCTGGTGGGGAGGGGACTTCACCAGTTGGGGGTTGTCCCCTGGAAGGGCCTCAGCTGGCAACAGCAAAATTGGTCAGCCTACGGGACTGTAGGCTGGTGGTTGTTTGGAAAGAGGGTGTGTGCCGGAACGGGCAGGAGCTGGGGGGAGGGGCCCTTGGCCAGGAGAGGCATGGGACAAGGTTGGAGGAAGCCAACTTCCTCCTCCCAGCACCGGGAGATCCAGGAGGAGATGCTGGGATCTGGGGGTGCAGCTTATCTCTGTGGGCTCTGGCCCCTGCCTAACCTGACTCTGCTTCCCCTCCCCCACAGACCGGCTGGATTCCACACAATTCCACTTTTACCTCAGGGGTTCATGGAGTGGGCAACCTAGAGGTATAGCCTTTGTGTGTGTGGATAACCAGTTGTGTGGTCTCTGCCCCCTCGTGTTTGGGAGAGTCGGAGCTTGGGGTCACAGTGACCCCTTTTTCCTTGGGTCCCAGGGCCCAAGGGCCTTGGCTGCTGCTGGCAGAGACGCCTCTGCAGGTGGAGCTGCAGCCCAGGCTTCGCAGTCCTGGCCCAGGAAGAGAGCAGGTCTGGGTCTGGAAGCACAAGCTGGGGCCCTTTGGCATATTTGTAAATTTCCTGACTGTGAGCTTCAGCTGGAGCTCACACGCTAGCCTGGATTTCAGCAAAGGGCAACCAAGGTACCAGGCAGGCAGGCTGCCTCCCCCAGGGTCTCCCCAAAGCTGCGGAGACTGCTGCCTGCTTTGGGGCTGCCTCCTCCAGCGCCCCAGCCTGGCCCGGAAGTGCAGAGGCCCCGGGCTGCCAGCAGCGGGATTAGTTCAGGGAAGGGCTTGCTCACCTGCTCCTCCCTCTGACTCAAGTCATAACAAGTAACCTGGTTCCCCTGGCCCTGCTCCTGGGAGGGACGGCCAGAGGTCCTCCGACCGTGGCAGCGTATAGGGTGCGGGAGCCTGGCCAAGGGGAGAGCGTCAGGCTGGAGACCCCCTGAGACATGTGAGGACCCCCCCGCCGCTGACCTGGGTGCAAGGGCTGTTCCTGAACTCCTGGACTGAAGCCCGGAAGCAGGTGAGGGTGGGGCCCATGGGAGCCAGACTTTGGTGCTGGGGCCTGGGGTAGGGGTACGCAGGAGGCAGTGGCCCTAGGGATGCGCGCCCCTTTGCCCTCCCAGCTCACGTCTGGGGTACAGGGACACTGGCTGAGGGCTGGAATGTGGAGCCTGTTCCCTGGAGTTATTCATTTTCCTCCTACAGTGAGGAGCAGGAACCGACAGGCCCGGGACCTGGCTCTGGGGACCCATCTGTGGTGGGGGAAGCAACTCCTCACTCTGCCCCATCTTTTCCTCTCATCCTGGCTTTGGGGGTGCTGTTCAGCCTGGGCTAGGGCTGGTCAGGGCTTGGTGCTGAGGGTCTGGAAGGTGGTGGCCAAGGAGGGGACCTGGAGGGAGCCCGGGGATAGGGCTGGGGGTGGGGCTGTCACCTGAACTGCTTTTATCTGTAAGCGCTGGTCTGGGCTCTTAAGGCCCACTCCCTTCTGGGTGGGGGACACCCTCTGTGACTGTGAGGGTGTCCTCTTAGGGGGCCTTGGCCCTGTCTGATCGTCCTCCCCTGCCCCTGAAGGGGTGGGTGGTGGGGAAGGGGCTGAGCCAAGCCAGGTGGCTGCCCCAGGCAGCGCGGGCCGGGAGTACAACCGAGCCTGCCGCCAGTGCTCCAGACTTTCCGGTCCTGGGCCCTTTGCCCTTCTTGGAGCAGTCAGCCCAGAGCTGAGACCAAGCGCCTCCCCGCTCCCGTCCCCTCCTTGGGGCCACACTCTGGGAGCCCCTTGGGAACCAGGGGCTGAGTGGTCTAGTGATCACAGCTCTTCCCAAGGCAGCTCCTTTGTGGTTAATAATTAATTAGCAAGTGTGACTAATTAGTGGCTGGCCCTCTCTCAACACCTAGTCCAAAGCAGAAGGGCTGAGGCTTGGACTGGGCCCTGCCCCTGGCTCCTGGGAAGGGTGGGGGAGGCTGGGTGCTTATCTGCTGGAGGGAGCAAGGGAGGAGGCGGGACCAGCTGAGCTCGGAGTCCACCTCTAGGACCCAGGGCTTTCCAGCCTGTGTGGCCAGATCTTCCTGGCGCCCCATGTCAACTTAAAAAAAAAAAATCTTGTGCATTCTCTAGACTTCTTGAAGAACTTTGCCAAGTGGGAGGTGCACCTGTGGGCCACCTCAGTGCTTGGCCAGGCTGGGCTCGGTGGTCCACCTGCCCGAGGCCCACCTGGCTGTGCTGGCCGCTGCCACACCTTGGCTCAGCGCTTCCCGGGAGGCAGGATAAGCTCCAGACAGAAACTCTGAGGACTTTTGGACTCTTGCTCAACGGGCTGACTCAGGGAGGGTTCTTCTTCTAGACTACCACCTCAGCTCCACCCGTCCTCTTCCTTCTGCCCCCAGCAGCTGCTGCTGGGCTCTGGCCCCGGGACCCCTCACAGGGGTGTGAGTTTGCCGAGAAGGAAGATGTGAGCACAGCTGTTGAGATACATCCAGGCTTGCACCTGAGCCTCCCTGGCAGCTAGAAGCCTGTGGGCTCCATTCTGGCCAGGGCAGCTCTGTCCTGCTCACTGCCCGCCATCCCTCACCCCCATCCAGCACGCACGCCTGACTTCTCTGGCTGTGAGATGGAAGGGATGCAGGCTGATTCCTCCCAGAACACTCTCCTGGGGATAGGTGGAAGCTTCAAGTGAGTGGCTACACCTGCCTGTAAAGGAATGACCTGGTGCAGCTTCACAGGCCTAGATCATGGCCTTGGCCGAGTGTCTCAGAAGCAGCTACCCCACTGGAACAATAGGGCATGGCTCAGCTGAAGCTAGCTGGCCCCATGGTGGGGCATCTCCCCACCACCACCCGTGGCTCTCAAGGGCGGCGCTGCTGCCAGCCCCTGTGGACCCAGCCCTTCTGGCCTAAAGAGGATGCCCACCCTGGGATGGGGGGTTCTGGAAACATCCTCGTGTCTAGTCCCTACCCTCACACCCCTCGCCTAAGCTCTGCTTGCCACCAAGACACTTTGCATCCAGCTCTTTTGTTACTCTTTGCTCTTGCAGCTGGAGGGGCGCCAGGCGGATTGCACATCCCAGCCCAGGCTGCGACCGGCATCATCCTTCACTCATCCGCGCCCACTCCACGCAGACGTCCACCATGGAGGGTAAGGAAGAGGTCAGTGACACAGACAGCGGCATCATCCTGCAGTCTGGTGAGTGCTTGGGGAAGTCCCGCTGTGCCTGGACCCCGGGGGCCAGGAGGGTGCGGGATTGGGGGGGGGAGGCAGCTCTGGAATCCTGCCAGCAACAAGGACCTGCTGCCCGCTGGGCTTGATCCCCAGTGATTGCGAAGAAGTGGAAACATCTCCTGTGGCCAGCATTCCGGAGCCCAGTGCGAGCTTGCTGGCCTGGACTTGCCTAAGGACAAGGGAGAGGAGGTCTGTGTGTCAGAGACAGGCAGCCGGAGAACGGCAGAGCAGACAGACAGCAGAGACGCAGGGCTAGGGTGCAGGTTAAGCTGTGGTGTATGATGTGGGCACTGCACACTGGCCGCTCCGTTTCTGATCCAGCTGCCCGCTGATGCATGTGGAAAAGCAACAGAGGATGGCCCACGAGCTTCGCTTCTTGCCACCCATGTGGGAGATGTGGCTGGCGCTCCTGGCTTCACCTCAGCCTGGGCCTGGCTATTGTGGACACTGGGGGAGTGAACCAGAAGATGAAAGGGCTCTTCCTTCTGTCTCTCTCAGCATATATATATCATTCTGCCTTTCAAATAAGTAAATCTTTTTTTTAAAAAGGAGCAAGACAGAGAGAGGAGGGGAGGAAGTACCCTCCGCTGTGCAGGTCACCTGGTGGTGGTTCAGCCCGCCTGCTGCCCTCCTCTCGCACACAGAGCTGGCAGTGGCCGACGGACAGCCCAGTGCTGTGTGGCTATGATATGGCACACACTCCAGTGTAACGTGGCTTCCTTTCTGATTCTGTGTCCCTGCTGTCCTCCCACAGGCCCAGACAGCCCTGTCTCCCCGATGAAGGAGCTGACCCAGGCCGTGCGCAAGCAGCAGAGGGCCCTAGAGGCACGCCTGGAAGCCTGCCTGGAGGAACTGAGGAGACTGTGCTTGAGGGAGGCGGTGAGAATGGGGAGACCCTGCTCCCCACCATACCAGGGGGTCATTCCTGAGCAGCCCGGCTCCATCCTCTGGGAGGAGGGGACCTCTTGTGGGATTGTGGCCCTCTTAGGGGTTCTGTGGCCTGTACTCTGGGCTGGGTGGGCAGCCCCGACCTAGACACAGCTGACCGCGCTTTCATCCCAGGAGCTGACGGGCACCTTGCCGGCGGAGTATCCGCTGAAGCCGGGGGAGACGGCCCCTGTTGTGCGCCGCAGGGTCGGGGCTGCATACCGGCTGGCCGAGTGGGCCCTGCACCAGGAGGTGAGTGACCTAGGGAAGCCCATGTGGAAGGGAGATAGAGGCAGCCTGGCACTCAGAGGGGGAGGACCCTGGCGTGGCTCTGTGGGCAGGAGGCTGTGGCACAGATATAGGGCCGGTTGGTACAGGTTACTCTGGTCCCCAGGGCTGTGCCACTGTTTGGCCAGTCGGAAGGAGGCGGGAGTGGTCCAGGCGGCCTTGCCTGCCTAGCCCTCTGGAGCAGGAGAGAAAGTGTCCCATGGTTCCCCACCATCCTGGCCCTGCAGGTGGCCTGTGGGCCATTCCTGCCTCAGTATCTTCTTGCTCTGCTTCCTGGACGCTGCCTTCCTCCCCTGCCACCTGCCACCTGTTCCCTAACCCCCACACTCTACCACCCTCTGAGTCTGGAGCCTCATCACGCTCCCTCCTCAGGACCCCCTGAGCAGCCTGGAGCGCCAGCTGGCCCTGCAGCTGCAGATCACTGAGGCTGCGCGGCGCCTGTGCCTGGAGGAGAACCTGGGTCGGCAGGCACGGAGGCAACGGAAGCAGGTGGCGTTGCAGGAGGAGAGAAAGCTGCGGGAGCTGCAGCACCATCTGGGCGAGCGGAGACGCAACAGCGAGCCCCTGCCCAGCCCCGGCAAGCCCCCTCCAGGCCCAGGTGAGCCAGTCTGCCCTGCCCCAGGGAACCCCCTCTGGGCCCAGGTGAGCCCCTGCCCAGTCCAGGTAAGCTGGATCTGGGTCACTCTGCCCAGCTCCGTGTTTAACACTGTACCTGGGCTCCCATTGGGTGAACTTGCTTTCCCACTCTGTAATCTCAACTAGCCTTCCTCTTGCGTGAAACCCTCCTCCCATCTCAGCACACAAGGAGGTTTCTTCCAAGACAGGCTGCATTCCTAGGACTGCACAAGCCCAGTCCAGGGCTGATACAGCTGGAGTATTCCAGACCCTCAGGGCTTGTCTGGGTCTGGGGAGTGTGAGGCTCATATAAGCCCCAGGCTTAGCTGAGGCCCTACCCCTGCCAGATTAGACAGCCCTTGGGGTGCACCTGCCATGCTTGGCTGTTTGAGGGGCTCACAGCTGCTTGTGGCGGTGTTCAGGGTGGAATGCAGCACTTCTGGTGTGACACCCTGACATGAGTAGCACCTTCCACATGCGTCCTGCTCTTGCCCATGTCTGTCATTCAACCCCTGAGGGCCTGGTGGTCGCACAGCCCGGGGCCAGCATGAGGTGTCTGTGGTTTCCACCCAGATGAGCTTCCTTCCAGCAGGTGCTTGAGCCCTGAGGTGCGACAGCTTCTCTTTGCCTTGACCTAGATCCAGTGGATCAGGTCAGGACTTGCCGCCTTCCATTCCTCCACTCCAGGCCCCAGTGCAGCCCCGCCCCCTCGCCAGGCTCTTCACCTGCTCCTGCTCTGCCTAGCTGGACTAGGGGGCTGCAGCGGGTGGTCGCTGGGCTCGACTTGGAGATGATTGGCTGCTCCCAGCCCTGCTGTGAAGGGCCCGTCTGCTGCCTCTGTCCCTTTCTGAGGCTTGAGCTCCTGTCCCAGGAATCTGTGCTGTCATTCATGGTTTTAATGCAGAATGGAACACCCATGTCACCTCCAGCAGCTAGGAGGAGGATGACAAGGGGGGAGGTGCCTGCAAGGGATGGCAGCTGGTGTAGGGACCTGGCAGGCCGTGGGGCCAGTCAGGTCCAAGAGGCAGACGTCTCCCTGGCCAGAAGAGCCAAGGCCCAGGGTACACTCCCATCCCCAAGGCTCTAATGGAGAGAAAGTTTCCATTGCAGGCTTGGTCCCCAGGACTGGACACTCCCATGAAAGGCAGCTTTATTGACTTGGTCCCAGAAGTCCCCAGCCTTGCTCTGTCTCCCAGGGAGCCCTTGGGTGGGGTGCACTTGATTGCAGCTGGTCTCAACCCCTTCTGTTCCCCTGTGGCCTTGGCACCTCCTCTGCCTATTGAGGGCTTGTGCCAGGCTAGCACTGTGCTGTCACCATGCTACTGCCATTGTGATCAATGGCTGCTTTGGGTGGGAGTCGGGCACAGACCAGTATGTGCCCAGGGTCCTGAAATGACCCTCCATGGGAGGCTGAGCGTCCACAACCTTATGGCCCTCTGCCCAAGGGAGGAGGGGAGCATGGAGAGGAAACCCCTTCCTCCCAGCTCATGGTGCCCAGATCCTCAGCTGTTTGCAGACAAGTAGCTCGTGCTGCTCTGCCCAGCTCTGCTCTCTATTCTCTAAAGAAAGAGAAAGTAGAAAGGAATTCATCATTGGTTTGTAGCTGAAAGTTAAAGGGGGCGGGGGTGGATGGAAGACAGAGTAACTCAAAAAGATAAACCCCAAAAGCAGAAACTGCCCCACCCACCCTCACCCCCACACAGGAGTTGCTCTAGTTGGCAGTCATGCCCGGTGAGAGTAATTAGCACACAGCAGGTGGCAGGGTGCAGCAGGTGCTGAACTTGCAGAGAGCCACGCCAGCACACCCTGTCTCGGGGTCTGAAAGGTGCTCTGTGGGTGCATGCTGATCAGCAGCGCCAACAGGAGCAGCTGTACTAGGATCTCTGAGGCGGTGGGATTGATTTTATTTTTATTTGGAGAGAGGAATTAAACAGAGGGAGAGGCCAAGGAAAAGAGGAGAAGGCTTCCATCTGCTGGTTTACTTCCCCTAATTGCCACAACTACCAGGGCTGGGCTAAAGCCAGGAGCCAGGAGCTTCTCCTGTGTTGGGACAGGGACCTGAGCACTTGCACCATCCTTTGCTGCTTTCCTGGGCCATTAACAGGAAGCTGGATCAGAAGTGGAGCAGCCAGGACTTGAACCAGCACTCCGATGGGACGCTGGCACTGCAGGTGGTAGTTCATCTTGCTGCTCCTCAGTAATAGCCCCAGAAGAATGACGTTATTATTTTTGGCAGTTTTACAAATTTAGTTCTCATCCACATGGACTGCAGGTTTTTGAAAGTGGTGACAGGTACACAGGTAACAAAGTGGAAAGCTTGTCAGGTGGATCTTCATCCTCATGCGTTTTCTGGACAGTCTCACACGGTGTGGTATGGGACGTTCCGTATTCCTTTGGCCCGGGCAGCTTGGTTGAGCCTGGTATCCATGCGCACACCTGGAGCCCCCATCTCTTTCCTGGCAAACTTGCAGATCTCTTTGAGCGCCGGAGGAGCACGCTTCTTGGAACCCACCACTCATGGATGGGCTTGAGAATGTTGATAGTGTATTTCCACGTCACCACCTTCTTTGTGGGAGCCATCTTGTAGGGCCAAAGCTGGAAAGCGGATGTTTAAAAATTGATTTATTCATTTATCTGAGAGAGTGTGAGAACTGCCTCTTCCTCTGTTGGTTCACTGTCCACATGCTCACAGCGGCCCCAGCACAGGGCTGAAGGTTTGACTCGGAGCCAGGGACTCACGGCAGGTCTGGCCTGTGGGTGCCGGGAACCCAAGTACTTGAATCCGCCCCTGGGTGTCCATTATCCGCACACAGGAAGCTGGGCTCAGGAACCAGAGTCAGGCGTGAAACTCAGGTTAACTTCCTGGCTGCTAGGCCTGGCTCCCATCCAGGAACTGAATTCTGTGTTTTATTTTGGTTTAATGGAAGTAGCCACAGGGGACTAGTGGCGGGGCCATCTCTGCTGTTCTGGTGGGATGAGTCCTGGCCGTAGGCAGGAGCAGGGCTGGGCAGGGACAACAGGGCAGTTCCCGCACAGCTCCCCACCTCTCTGACTGCCCTCTGTGTCACACCCTCTGGCCTCTGCAAGTCCAATCTGCATGTTTCTATAAAGATGGGGGTACGGGCGGCAGCAATCAGCATCTTTCTTGCTAGATCACTTATTTAAACCAGAACTCATGATCAGACCACGAGAGTAACAATTCCTCCATCTCTCCGACCTGACGTTTGCAAAAAGTAAAACCCTGCACTCTGACTTTGTCAGAGCTCAGAGGAGGGCAGGCTGGGCAAGTTTTTATAAAACGGAACCAGAGGTGGCCCCTCAGCTATCATTTGCCAGCCCCTGTTGTAAAGGATGCCAGTGAGGTTGGAGTTGTCAAGGGCCGAGACCCTAGTACACTGGCAGTGTGCTCTGGGTTGGCCTCAGCCCTGTTACCCACATCGGCCAGCACAGAGCAGTGGTGATCCCTGGCTGGTCCGGAGGCCTCTGTACCGTAAGGACGGAGAAAGTTGGGGCACTGGAGAAATGTGAGCGAGTCTTGGCCTTCCCTCACCTTCCTTCTCTCCTGGCCTCTTCCAGAGCTCAGCACCTCGGATGACAGCTCCCTCTCCGATGGGCGGCTTCTGGAGGAAGGTGAGAGAGGCAGCTGGGGCTGGTCCTGAGTCCCGGGCTTTGACCAAGTCTGCTGGTGACCTGGTCAGAGCAGGCCCTGCCGCTGTTAGTGAAGGCAGGGCTGCCAGACCCACTCAGATCTGGCCAGCTCTGCACCTGCTCAGTTGAAGGTGGAGGTGTGGTGCTGTCTCCCCATTCTATAATTAGAATCACGCAGCCCTGTTTGGACCCTGGGGCCATCTACAGAGAAGCTGGCCCTGGGGGTGAAGAGGCAGGGACATATCTTTGGATAAGAATGCTGTTTACAGACCCTGGGCCTACTGGGGTCAAGGTGGATGGCGGTCTGGTGCAGTTCTGCCCAGGGGAGTGCCTGGGCCATTAAGTACGTGGGAACATGGGTGCGGCCAGAGCAGGGAGGAGAGGTGGCAAACGCAGCACCTGCATGAAGCAACTTTAAGAATCTAGAGTCTCAGGGGCAGCACTTGCATGTGGCATAAACTGGGTTAGGTGGGGGGAAGTCAGCCCCCAGAAGTAAACTAAAATAGGGCTAATAGGGGGTAAGAAAAAGTGCCAAAGGAGAAGAAACCACACCTTGGGGCTGGAGCCATGGGCTGGGGCGTCTGGACAAGCCAGCCAGGGGAGGGGGAGCAAGGCTGGGACTGCAAGGTGGTTGCTGGGCCGGTTCTTCCAGCCCCTGCCCTTACCAGCATTCTGGTCCCTCCCACCCTTACCGCAGAGGAATCCCAAGTGCCAAAGTCTGTCCCGGAATCTCCAGCCCCAGCTTCCCGACCCCCACCACCCCAGAGCCTGGAGGGGCTGCAGCCAACAGCATTGCAGATGGGGGACCTGGAGAGGGCCCCCATCCAGAACAGCCCCTGGAAGGAGACAAGCCTCGACCACCCCTACGAGAGGCCCAGGAAGTCTTCAGAGCTTGGCAGCGAGTCCAGGTCAGAATGGGGAATGCCAAGGAGGCTGGGCAGGTGGCCGTGCGTGAGGGTGGAGCTGGCAACTTTGGGGTCCCCTGTCACTGACCACCCCCATCCCCTTTGTAGCAGCCCTGCCACCACTCCGCAGGACGGGCCCAGTGTCTCCAGTGCATGGCTGCTAGAGCCTCCCACCTACCACATGGTCCCCTTCCGCAGCGTTCCCGGCCAGCGCCAGGGGCGCACTAGTGCCCCAGCCACCCCCGAGATGCAGGGACGGAGGGGCCAGTCGCAGTCCCTGAGGTAAGAGACCGGACACTCGATGAGAGGTGGGGTGATGACCGTCCAGGCCTCCCAGTGTACAGGCAGGACAGCTGTGAGTGACACACGGCTGTGTCCGTGGCAGTTCCTTAGCTGCCTGGGGAAGGAGGCTGTCCCTTCCAGGCTCTGGCCTTGCCCGATGCCGGTGCCACAGGCACCCGCACACTTGTTTTGCTGCCCATCACCGGCAATGCCATCCTGAGTTTCATCCACAGGGGTGATTGGACAATCACTGCAGTGCAGAGCCCGTGGCCCTGTGGGGACTGCCATGTTGAACAGGTAGTGCTGATTTGAAAGGCAGAGTGACAGAAGCAGACGTCTTCCAGTTGCACAAATGGTCAAAAATGGCTGGAACGTGGCCAGGCTGAAGCCGGAAACCCAGGACTCCATCTGGGTCCCTGACATTTGGTGGGGGGGCAAGCACTTTGGGTCATTTTCTGCCTTCCTAGGTATGTTAGCAGGGAGCTAGATCAGAAGCTGAGTAGCCAGGACCTGAACCTGTGCTTCCATGTGCTAGCACCACAAGCAGTAGCTTCACCCCCTATGCCACAAGGCCAGCATCGGAAGCTTGTCAGTGTCCAGAAATGACCTCGAGTGTCTGTGGATCTGAGAATCATCTGTGTGGGCTCATCTGGCTCTCTGCCAAGAGGGTAGTAGTTTGACAGGCTGGGTTAGGGCTGTCAAGCACCTTCAGTTTGCTTGGCTGGTAGCCCTGACTGGCTGCAGCTTGGGATAGCTGTTCCTCAGTGAGGCAGGGGATGCTAACAGCTCAGGTACCACCGGCATCCGATTACGATGTGATGCCTATATGATCATTTTAAAAAGGTAGCGTCGTTCCACATGGCCTGGCCTGTCTGTGTCAAGTACCGCCTCCTGTTCCCCAGTCCTCCCCACCCCCTTCCACGGGAGCAAATTCAGTGCCTCAGGAGCTGGAGTCCACAGCCTTGGTGCAGCAACCTGGTGTGAACTGCCAGGCTATGGGTGAATCAGGGGCAGGTTCACACCTGGGGAGGGAAGGTGTGTGTTGGCAGGTCCCTGCCTTATCTCTGGTGGGGATGGGGGGAGCTTTGGCCTTCACCACAAACAACAGAATGTAAAAATCAGTCATTTGGGTAAAAAAAAACAAAAAAACAATCAGTGTGATGTCTGCACGTGGAATTTCCCCCATGCACTTGTTTCTCCCGGTACAGGGTAGATTCCTTCCGGGCTGGCCCAGAAGGCCGAGGCCGCAGCGCCTTCCCACGCCGCCGGCCCACACAATACACCGTGACGGTGCCAGACTCGTGCTTTGCCGCCAAGCCGCCGCTGCCGCTGCACCCTGCTTACCACTCCTGCTCCGAGGACAGCGCCTCGGATGCCTCCAGCATCTCGCACCCCACTTCGCCTGGCAGCAGCAGCCCGGACATCTCCTTCCTGCGGCCCCTGTCCCCAGCCCAGTACCAGCGCCCCCGCGGTGCTTGGGGCTCTGTCAGTAGCGGCAGCAGCAGGGAGCTGGCCGCCCACTACTCCAAGCTGCTGCTGCCCAGTGGCTACGTTCCGGCTGGGCGCTACGTGATGGTGGCCGAGAGCCACCTGCCTCCGGCCGAGTGGGAGCTGCGGCGCGCCATGGCGCTGGGTCCCGCCTGTGAGGCTGATGGCGGCGTTCCCTTGCACTACCAGCGGCTGCTGCCGGCCCACAGCCGCCTGGTGCGCACGCCCTCCCTGAAGGACTGTCCCACGGGCCGGAGCATCAGCAAAGCTGCGGTCTCGGAGGAACTGAAGTGGTGGCATGAGCGGGCGCGCCTCCGGAGTGCCCGGCCCCACTCGCTGGACCGTCAGGGCGCCTTGCGAATCAGGAGTCTACCCCCTGGGAGAGAGAGCTTCGGCCGGGCCCTGGGACCCCGGACTCAGGTATGGCTGTTCTGGCAGGGGTAAGGAGATGACGCCTATGGGGATGGGCTGCAGTTCTAGCCCGGCCAGTAGAAGGAGGGACATCCCTGACGCAATTAGTCCCTTCATTTCCTGACTCCAGGGTAGGAGGCTAGTGGGGGAGACAGCAGGGCAGAAGCAGAGTCCAGATAATGGGATTCCAGAGCCGGCCACAGACCTTACCCAAGCCAGGAAGCAGGTGGCAGGGTAGGCGGCTGACAGCAGGGACCCTGAGCCAGAGCCCGAGGCTGCAGCTCCTTACCAGCACGGTGAATGGGCAGTGGGCCTCCTGTAAGGGCTAGGAGGAGGCTAAGAGTGAAGATGACCAGAGCCAGACATAGTGCCACAGCCGGGCCAGGTTGGTGGGTGGCATGCTGGCGTGGGACAGAGGGTAGCCCTGGTTTCCGTGGATCCGGTTTCTTCATTCCGGAGTGGAGATAATGCATGAATCCCGTCTTTATTCTCCCTCCGCGGCACGGAGGGCCTGCGGGGGATATGCTCCAGGAGTTCCCAACAGGCTGTTCCTTTGAGACCCAAGACTGCTGGCAGTCCAGCTGCGAGGACCTCCCCTCCCACCCCCACACCCCCCGACCCTTCCGGGCTGCACTTGTCCCTGGCCCAGGCCACACCCTCTCCAGCTGACGCAAGCTTGAACCTGATCTTGGCCCAAGCCTGCCTGGGAGGGTGATGAGCGCAGTGAGCCAGAAGAGGTGGGCATGGGAGGCCAGGGAGCCTGCCGCAACCCGCAGGGACCCAGGGTGTGGGGAGCCTGTCCGTGGCTTGGCAGGCCAAGGTCACACACCCAGCTCTCCTCGCTTCCTGCCCCTCACAGGTGCCCGCTGTCCGTGTGCTCCGGAGATCGCCCGAGGGGGCCCCCGTGCAAGTGTACGTCCCTGACAACGATGAAATCATCAGCCAGGTGTAGCGCATGCGCATGGAGGCCGCTGTGAAGGACCAGACCCCCCCACCCCACCACCAGCAGTGCCTCTTTCAACTCCTGGCCCCCATCGCAGGCCGATGACCCGGAGTGGAGACCCATCTGTGTCCGTCGTCGTCCCCCACCCGGCCCTCCGCGGCTGTACGCTGAGGACTGTGTGTGTGTGTGTGTGTGTGTGTGCAGCCTGGCCCTGAGAGAGGGGATATGCTTCCTGCCCTCCCCCACCACCCCAGGGTGGGGCCCCCTGGACTTACAGCCTTGCCTGTGTGGTGGGCGCAGTTGAGGGGGCCTGCTCAGGTCCAGGACTCACGGCCAATCACCTCTGGCCGCCATCCTGCCATTGACGGCTGTGGCGCTGGCTCGCTGCCATTTCCCTGGTCTCTGGGGACCATAGACTGGAGGGAGGGGGCTCGCCCTCCCTTCTGTAATGTGCTCCGTGATGCACACCAAGAGAGTGGCCTTGTCCTCTGGACCCTGCCATTGCCTGTTCCCTAAGTCCTCACACAGGGCCTCCCATCACAGTTCCCCGTCCGGGTCATGTGGCTCCCAGAACCAGCCAGTGAAGGCTGCGTCGTCTCCTGGAGCCCCTGAAAATAAAGCCCTCATCCTTGCCGAGATGCCTGCCCTCTCAGGACCCGCTTGTGGTGGCCGAGGAGGTGGTAGCTTCCGCTACCCGCCCAGCCACACTTTGAAAGCCCTCGTGTATGCCCACGTGGAGAGGGGAGATGGTGTTCACAGGGGGCATGACAACACCGTTCCTGGCTGCTGAGCCTGGGCCGAGCCTGGGAGCTGCCTGTGCTCCAGACCTCCTAGTCCTCAGCCTAGGGCCCCCTTGGCCACCAGGTCAGCTCCTTGAGGAGGGATCCTGCTTGGTTGAGGAAGCACCCAGCTGAGGCTGGGAAGGGATGAGGAGTGGCCTTTTGCTGGTACTGAGCTCCCCTCAAGTCCTGAGTGCAGCAGGACTGTGGCTTATCCCAAACCACCCATTCCTGAGGAGAGCTGCGCTGAGGGAACTGCAGAGCCCCGAGCAGGGGTGGCAAGGATCTGCGCTCTACAGCCAGCCCGGGGGCCTCAGGAGCCACGCCAGGGGCACACCCAAGCAGTAACTGCTGGATCCTGTGTTCCCATCCTGGGCTTGTGTGGGTTTGGTGGTGCCCATCTGAATAAAATTTGTTCTGTATGAGCCAAGAACTAGAGTGGTCTTTTGTGACAAGCTTCCTATCCAGCTGGTCTGGCCGGCTCCCTGGGGAGCACATGGGGTGGGTCTGGAGTGGATGGAAGCCAGCACCAAGCAACAAGGCTCCTTAGGGTCTCCTGTCACCCCAGGCATAAGCGGTGGCAGTGGCTGAGAAGTGGGGGAGCCGGCTTTCCGAGAGGCTGCTCCAAGGTTGGGTGCCTGGGTGCCAGCCTGGTCAGGGCTGGGATGCTGTATGCCCCTGTCGGAGGAGGGGGCAGGGAGGAGCTGCTCGCAGCTGGGAGCACCTCCTTGCCTGCCCAGCAGGGGCCGCCCAGGGCTGGGAGCACTGCGCCCCCTGGAGCCAGGAGAGTCCTACAGCCTGACCTGAGGAGCCTGGCCTGTCACGGACAGGGGGTCCCGGATGTCTGAGGGCCTTTGTGGATAGCTGTGGGCAGTGTCCTCCAGAGTGTCTGGAAGAGTGTTAGAAGTCACCGTGGTTTGTATTCAGACTTGTGAGGGGCAGGGCTGAGGGGGAACAGTTGGGGAGCCCTCCCCACAGCCTCCACAGTGGGGCTCCTGCTGGGAAGTGCCATTGTGAGGGAGGGCAGGCCTGGGGTTCTGAACTGGGGGAGGGGCGCAGAAGCATCTGGAGTTTTGCAGAGGGTCTGCAGGCCTAGTTGCTCTGCAACTAGATCCTGAAGGAGGAATCCCAGGATGAGCCCCTCTTCCCTTGGGAGGAAACAGGCTCAGTCCCTTTTTTTTTCTTTTTTTAAAGATTCAATATATTTTTACTTGAAAGGCAGAATTGCAGAGAAGGAGAGATTTTACATTTGCTGGTTCACTCCCCAAATGGCCTAAAAGGCCAGAGCTGAGCCAGTCCAAAGCCAGGAAGCAGGAGCTGCTTCTGGGTCTCCCACACAGGTGCAGGGTTCCAAGGTTCTGGGCCATCTGCAACTGCTTTTTCAGGCCACAAGGAGGGAGCTGGGTGGCAAGTGGAGTGGCTGGGATACAAACCCATATGGGATGTCAGTTCCTGAGGCTGAAGCTTAGCACGCCCCAGTGCTGTTCTCAGCCCATTGCTTCTCTAAACAAACGGCAGGACCAGCCTCCCTGGCCTTGCTGTGGTCTCCTGTGTGTGTGATGACTTCGCACAGAGTCACCTTCGAGTTTCCAACTCCGCGTGTCGCTTCGGAGCCAGACTTGTCAGGTGAGCAGTTGGTACTGACTCCAGGGCTCTGTAATGCTGCTTGCCCAGCCTCCTCCTGGCGTGAGCTGCCTCTTAGGGAGCACTGGCGAGCCGCTGCCCCGTGCCCAGCCACGCCCCTGCCCTCTCACTGGCCTGCCTCAGGCCTGGAGATGGTCTGGCATCTGGGCTCTGCTGTGTGGGTGATGGCCACTCTGAGAGCCCAGGGCCAGCCACCCCCACACTGAAACCCCCACTTCGACACCTACAGCCCCTGTACCCCAGAGTCCCACAGCCTGGGACACAGTGATTGATCCCTGACCATGACCTCAGAGCTAATGTGGCCCAAACTCCTTGCCTTGCTTCTCCATCACCATCAAATCCACTCTCTGTGTCCCTTCGTGGCAACTCTATCCTTTCGGCTTTCTGGGCCAGTTGCTGGCTGTCCTGGTGACCGCCCCCTCCCCCAGCCTGAGCCCCATGCCCTCTGCTCCCTCCCCTCACCCACCCTCTTCCGGCTGCTCCTTGCGCTGCAGGCGCCTGCCTTTGGCATGCCAGGCATTTGCCCCTTGCTGTTCCTGGGCCTGCCGTGCCCTCTCTCCAGATGTGTGACTGTCCTTCAAGCCCAGTTGCATTCCACCAGCCGGCCCTTGTGCCCCTGGGTGTGGATGCAGACACTGGGTGGGCCAGTGCAGACACATTCTTGCAGCAGGCTTGCTCCTTGGAAGCCAGCCCTGGTCCAGCCGCGTCCCTGTCCGCGGTTCATATCCTTTCCGTTGGCTGCTGCGCCCGAAGGGTGCCCAAGAGAAGCATTGAGGAACAGCTTTGTAGAACCCCTGTCTCCTTGGGCCAGAAAGTGGCCTCCACCTTTCTCACAGACAGTGACAACAGATGAAGGAACAGAACAGAAGCTGGTGGGCGTGATGGGGCGAGGAGAAAGGGGTATCTGATTGGACGTTGAATCCATCCCGACAACAGCTCTCACTCTGTTGCACCTGTGGGAGGGGCCTGATGATGCTAAAGGACACTGGGCTTAATGCTTCCCTCACCCGCTGCCCTGCAAACTAATCCCTGCACTTCAGCACCCCTAGACCTGCCCCGGGGGTGCCTGGCCTGCAGGGCCAAGGTGAAAGGGCTGCGGCTGCCCACATCAGGCGCCCCTGTCCCCACCACTTCAGGTCCTAGGCTTGCCACCCTCAGCATTCTCTTATTCCGTCCGCTCCTGGCTCCGGGTAAAGTGGACCGGTGCCACGCCCTGTGTTGTTACCCAGCTGGGGTCTCTGCCCCAGGAGGTGGGTCCCATGGGTCACCCTGAGGTTTCCATCCCACTTATCCCACTTAAGCCAGGACATCCCCCAGAGACTGTAGGCATTGGGCGGCTGTCCTTGCCTGCCTTGCCATGCCTGCCCATGCAGGATGTCTCACATGGAAGGGTCCAGCTCAGGGGTGCTGGCCCTGCAGAGGGAGTGGGGCTCCATCTTGCTCATCCATCTGGGAGAGTCAGCCCTTCCCCTCCCTCCGATCATGTCCCCTTCCAGGCCTGCGCCAATCCGAAAGAGATGCCTACGAGGCCATCATGGAATTTCTACAGCAGGAACAGATGGTGAGGAGATTGGAATTTTCTGAAAACTTAAGAGGGAAGCAGAGGTTTCATGCATTCTCAGGTCTGGGGGTCTTGCCTGGAAGACCCGCTCTCCCACCAGGGGAAGGCAGTGCTCATTGCCTGCCTGGCCTGGGGGGTCAGGAGAGAGGCAAGTGTCTGAAATTTGGGTCTCCCAGGCCCTTCCTGGGGCCTTTGAGGAGGCCCTGAGTCAGGGTGAGGAGGGCTAGAACCCCCATGCTGAGGAATCCTGCTGTGGCCTGCACACGTGGGCCTGGCCCGGCTCACCAGACAACTGCATCCCTTGCCTTAGTGCGAGTTCTCCAAGCTGAGCTTCCTGCGGGCGGTGGAGACGCTGAGTGGCGTCGTGCGTGCGCAGGCAGACGGCAACATGAATGATTACTGCTCCAAGAACGCGCTGGCCAAGAAAATCAAGGTGAGAGCCAGATGGTGGGGGTCATGGTGTGGGCTGAGGGTGGCAGCCCCCTGGGTCGGGGGGTGCAGGACAGTCTCCCTCTGTCTGTACCTTCTTCCTGGCTCTTCTAGATGCTGATCCTAGAGGAGTCCTTCGAGATCCTAGACAGCAGTGTGCGCCAGCAGGCCATGCTCTGCATCGTGGCCCTGAGGTCCCGTTCCCACTGTGACCCCACTGTAACCCCTGATGCTGGAGCCTTTGTATCAGGAGGAAGGAAGGGCCAAGTTTGAGGGACATGATTTTTTCCAGCCCTGGGGGATGCTGCTCCATCTGCCTGCATGCTGGGGCACTGGGGCACACCCCAGGTTTCACTGTTAGAATGACCCTATGTGGGGAGGCTGCCCCAGCAGCCAGGCCTGTCACCCCAGAAACGGGGCCACTGGGAAGCATATGGGACTCAGGCACCACCCATGACCCATTTCCTGAGTCTCGGGGAGAAGCAGGGCAGGGGCCCGCAGCCTCTCCCAACGACCCTGAGCCACTGGTCATGCCCTACCTGTTTCCTCCCATCCCCAGCCAGGTGAACCCCCCATTCCACTTATCCCAGAAGCTGGACCTGGTCAATGTGGCCGTGGCCAGCGTCTTCTCTCTGCCACTCATCGTGCCCAGCCTGGACCGCAAGGAGAGCGCCAGTCTCTACCTGCAGGTGGGGAGCTGGGGGCATGCCTTCCTCGGCCACCAGCCATCCTTCTCCCCTTCCTCCTCCCCCCTCCTCTTGCTTCTCTTCCTCCCCCACTTTCTCCTCCTCTTCCCCTCCTCCTGCAGGAGCTGGTGTGTCCCAGCTCCTCGTGTTGGTGCTGTGGGAGCTAACTCAGGGCTGTCCCGCCATCCCTTGCGGTCCCAGGCCATTGACGCCTCCTCCCATGGGGACACCTCTTCCCAGGTTTCCTGAAAGTCAGTCTCAGGAGACGGGCTAGACATCAAGCCGAGATGCCAGGGACTTGCTCACCAAGAGACTTGCCCAAATTCTCCCAGGCTTTGGGTTTTCAAAACTAGACCTTCCCTTAAAGCCACAGAAGGAATCTGTCTTGGTGAGCCCTGCCCTGACGGGGTGGTCCTCACTGCCCAGTGCCCTGCAACTGGGCCAGGAATGGTCTACCCCAGGGCCGGCCAGAGGGGCTCCAGAGGGAGAGGATGCCCCGCACAGAACTTGCCCGGCTCCCGCCTTCCTCTGTGTCGGGGTGCAACAGAGTGGGCAGGGTCCCTAGAGCCTGGCCGTCTCCCACTGGTCAGACGGTGCAGGCCCTGGATGACATGCTCCACGTGCTGGTGATGGACAAGTTGGACCCAGACATGCTCATCCTGCAGCACTTCCTGGAGGTGGGTGGCCCTCAGAGGGAGAAGTGGAACCTCGGGGTCGCCTGGGGGTTGGTCCCGCTTCGAGTGGAGGGTAGACGTGGGGCTGAGGCCCCGTTTCTGACCAGAATCCTGGCATATTGAGCCTTAACCAGGAGTAGCATTTATCCCCACCAACTTCATGAAAGGATTCTCCCCTCCCCTCTTCTTTCCTTTATCTTTTTATTGTCTGAAGGCCATGACTGAGCTCAGTGCCCTGCCCAGCAGCTTTGAGCAGGAACACACATATCTATTTGCTCCAGCCAGGACACGGGCCCCTTGCATCCAGTGGGTTCTCAGTGTAGCAGTACTGGCACCTGTCACATTGGCTGTCTGGGCAATGCATGAGTTCCCATCCATAGAGCAGGGCTCTGTGGAATCACCCACGGGAATGACTCATCAAAAGTTACTGTCTCAGAATCCCTTCTCTCCTGTCCTTGACCCAGCAGGCAGGGCTTTGTCTACATCTGCTGCCACCTGCTCGTACCTCACCTCCCTTCCTTGTTCAGATGCAATCACTGATGTGTCCAGGACCAGCGTTTGCTGGAAGCTGGCATTGGGAGCAGAGTTGGGTATGGAGCCCAGGTGCTCCAGAGGGCATGTGGAATGTCTCAACAGGCAACTTAATTGATGTGCCAAGTGCCCAGCCCATGGTGCAGAAAAAGATTTGGGGCATGAGAGATGAGGTGCAGGGGGACCTTGTTTCTTTGGCAGATGAGGTGGGGGGAGAAGGAAGGAAGGAAGGGGGCTGCTCCCCTGGCCTGCCCAGGAACCTTCTGCTCCCTTGCAGATCCTCTTGCCCTGGGTGACCATGTCTGACAAAGTACATGAGCAGACCCGGGCACTGGGCACCATCACCCGCCTGCTCAGGTTCATCTGTAATTTCCCCAAACTGTCGGTGAGTGTGCTAAGGGTTGCAGGTTTGGAGGGCTGGAGGCTGGCCCTGCAAGCCTGGAGGATGGGGGCGTTGCCAGAGGCAGCCCCCTTGCCCTTAGTGCTAATCAGGAAGGTGCTGCTCTTTGGAGGGAGGGGACAGTGGGGTTATGGAGACGGCCCAGTGAGGGGACCCGTTTCCTTTCCCGGCAGCACATGCAGGAGTTCTCGGTGACCGGGACCCTGATGGGCCTCTGGGGTCTCTTCTGCTTGCATTCCAACCCTGAGATCAGCCAGGGGGCGTCGGAGGCTTTGCATTACCTCTTCAAGATCCTTGTGCTTCAGAGAAGTAAGCCTGGATGGAGCAGGCCCTGGGCTCAGTCGGCTGTGATGCCCCAGGACTGGGTCCTCGGTCTCCACTGTGCCCCCATCTCCCTCCACCCCAAACCTGGTGCTGGGCACTTCTCTCCTGATCCTGCTGGGCCGATGTCTGCCCTGCTTGGGGTTGGGTGGCTTGGGGGCTGGGACGGGGAGTGCCTGGCCCTGCCCCTTACCTGCTGTTTGGGACAACAGGTGTGAAGCAAAAGACGGAGAGCATCCTGAAGGACTTGCAGAAACACTTCCGTGGGGAGTGGCTGGCCAGCATGCAGACCCTCACGTGGGTAAGGATACGCGCGTGGGGAGTGCTGGGAAGGAGGCAGAAGGGGGCGCCTTGGAGGGGTCACTCCACCCACACAGGGAAGGATCTTTCTGGAAGAGTCAGACACACTTCACAGTTGCACTCCAGCTGACAGAAGCTGGGCTCCTGGACTGCTGGAGTGTTTTAGAAGAGGAATCTATTTGCCTCTAGTGCTCCTGAAGATTGCGCCCTGGCCCTTCCTTTGGGGGCTTGCTGAGGTACACAGGTGTCTTCAGGCTCCAGTCAACCAAGTCTCTGCAGCCAGACACGCAGGCATGACCCTCGTCCCTTTTTTCCCCTTCTCTTGCTCTTCACCCAGCTCAGCCCCAGGCCTGTCCACTCTGCCCCCGCTCCGCCCCGGGCTCCTGTTTCTACCCACACCCCACAGCGCCAGCCTGTACATCATTTCTGAGCTGGGGACTGTTTCTGGAGTAAAAGCTCATTCCATTATTCCCCGTCAGACTTGACCCTGCCTTCCCACTGTTCTTATTCCAAATCCTCACTCCTCTCTTTTAAAGATTGATTGATTAGTTTGAAAGTTGGAGCTACAGAGAGAGATCTTTCATCCGCTGGTTCACTCTCCAGATGGTTACAATGGTTAGAGCTGAACTGCTCTGAAGCCAGGAGCCAGGCGCTTCTTCGGGGTCTTCCACTGGGGTAGCAGGAGTCCCTGCACTTGGGCCATTCCCTGCTGCTTTCCCAGGCCATTAACAGGGAGCTGGATCAGACAAGGAGCAGCCAGCACTTGACCTGAAGCCCATGTGGGTTGCTATTGTGACGGATGGTTCCACCGGAAACACATAATGCTAGCCTCAATCCACACTCCCTTCATGGTGTGGCCTCCGCTGTCATGGCCCTGTCTTTCTTGCCTCAGTTTCCCCATTTCACCTGGCCCATGTCTCTTCCTCTTTTTCCTCCAGGCTTGTGTGGGCAGTCAGGGGTCAGGTCAGAGGGCACTGTGTGGGCAGGTGAGAGGGTGCACTGAGTGGGCAGGTGAGGGACAGTGGTCACCCTTCTTTCCAGTTCTTCAGGAAGTACCTGACCCCTGACGAGCGAGCAGATGTGTTCATTGTGGCCTTGGAGGCCCTGGTGAGCTCCCGCAGTGCTGACATCTGCGCTGCGTCCCGGATGTTGAAGATGATCCTCAAGGACTCACTTCCGGAGATTGGGAAGGTGGGACTGTCCTCTCGTGGCCCCTCCACACCATGGGGGAGGTAGAACCGTCCTCACGTGGCCCCTTCCAGCCATGGTCTCCAGTCAGGAGACATCCCTGGGGGGGGGGCAGCCCTGGGACTGGTGGGTGGTCTTCACCCCCACCTGCAGACAGCACCCTGGGGTGGCTCTAAGGGCCCTGCTTCATTCATTCAGATGGACCTGCATGGTCAAGGTCAGGGCTGTGTCCAGGAGTGGAGCTGAGAGAGCCACAGAAAAGCTGTCCAAGGAAGCAGCCATGCATGAATTTCAACCTGATTTTGCCCTCAGATAGACCTATCTTTCAGTTTGATTTTTCTGCCATCTCTGATCCTGCATGTGTGATCTGGCCTGGGCAGTGGTCATCTGTGTGCCCCTGCAGGCCTGCCGCCTGGCTAGGGGACCCTGGTCAGCCAGCAGCGGGCCTGTGCAAGAGGCAGCTTTCTCTCCTTGCAGGTGCCAGAAATCATCCAGTACATTTACTACCACATGAACAGCATCACAGAGGCCACAGCCCAGAAGATTGTCAAGAAGATCCTCCACCTGCTGGCCCAGTCCTACACTGACGACGTTATCCTGACTCTGTTCAAAATCGAGGACCAGTCTCAGAAGTGGGTGGAAGGCTCAGCAGCCCTCTTCTTTGCTTTTTTTTTTAAAAAAGGTTCCTTTTATGTTTTTGCAAGACGAGATACAGAGAGAATGAGAGAATAATCCGTCTGTTGGTTTACTCCCAGACGGGCATGGTGGCCAGAGCTGAGCAGGCAAAGCCAGGAGCCTGCACTGCACTTCCTGGGTGTCCCACCAGGGTGCAGGAGTCCATGTTCTTGGACTCTTCCGCTGCTTTCCCCGGAACCTTAGCAGGAAGTAGAGGCAGCAGCTTCACTCACAGTGCCACAGCATTGGCCCATCTCTGCTTGTTCTTAATATGGATCCATTTTTGCAGGCCCTTATATATTTGGAGTGTAGAGATGGAAATAGTAGCACTGTTTATCTAAGAAGACTTAAGAACTTGCACAATTTTGAAAGGGTGAAAAATAGACATTAAATTTCACCCAGTGGCAGGCTCTCCTATTACTTGAGCATAAAACTTAAAACTTATCTTTTTTTAAAAAAAGATTTATTTATTTTTATTGCAAAATTGGATATACAGAGAAGAGGAGAGACAGGAAGATCTTCCGTTCATTGATTCACTCCCCAAGCAGCTACAACGGCTGGTGCTGAGCTGATCCGAAGCCAGGAGCCAGGAGCCTCTTCCGGGTCTCCCACATGGACGCAGCGTCCCTTCCAGCTCCCTGCCTGTGGCCTGGGAAAGCAGTCGAGGACGCCCAAAGCCTTGAGACCCTGCATCCATGTGGGAGACCTGGAAGAAGCTCCTGACTTCGAATTGGCTAAAGCTCTGGCGGTTGCAGCTGCTTCGGGAGTAAATCACTGGACGGAAGATCTTCCTCTCTGTCTCCCCTCCTCTCTGTATATCTGATTTGTAATAAAAATAAATACATAAGAGGCCCAGAGCCTCTTCTGGGTCTCCTATGTGGGTGCAGGGTCTCAAGGCCTTGGTCCCTGCTCAACTACTTTTCTAGGCTACAAGCAGGGAGCTGGATGGGAAGGGGGCTGCTGGGATTAGTACTGGTGCCCATATAGGATCCTGGTGCGTGCAAAGCAAGGACCATAGCCACCAGGCTACTGCGCTGCACCGGGCCCTAATACTTATCTTTAAAAAAAAATGCTGTTTAAAAAATGGTGTTTGTTTATATATATATACACACAGACACGCACATACACACAAACATATTGACTATATATAATATATATATGCACTTTATATATATATGTATATTTTTTCAAAGATTTATATATTTATTGGAAAGTCAGATATACAGAGAGGATGAGAGACAAAGAGGAAGATCTTCCTTCCCATGATTCGCTCCCCAAGTGAGTGCAACGGCTGATGCTATGCCGGTCCAAAGCCAGGAGCCAGGAACTTCTTCCGAGTCTCCCACGCGGGTGCAGGGTCCCAAAGCTTTGGGCCGTCCTCAACTGCTTTTCCAGGCCACAAGCAGGGAGCTGGATGGGAAGTGGAGCTGCTGGGATTAGAACCTGCGTCCATATGGGATCCTGGTGTGTGCAAGGCGAGGACTTTAGCCGCTAGGCCACGCCGCCAGGCCAAGATATATATATACAGAGTTGCCTATTTTTTCATTTAACATGTTATTATAGCAATTGCCCAAGTTATATGTACTATCATATATATAATTTTAATGGCTACTTGGTGTTATCATCTATAACTGCACTACATTATAATTTTCTTTTTTTAAATTTAAAAAGAGAACGCCCTGGGATCCCATATGGGTGCCAGTTCTAATCCTGGCAGCTCCACTTCCCATCCAGCTCCCTGATTGTGGCCTGGGAAAGCAGTCGAGGACCGCCCAAAGCCTTGGGACCCTGCACCCATGTGGGAGACCTGGAGGAAGTTCCTGGCTCCTGGCTTCGGATCGACACAGCACCGGCCGTTGCGGCCACTTGGGAAGTGAATCATTGGATGAAAATCTTCCTCTCTGTCTCTCCTCCTCTCTGTACACCTGTCTTTCCAATAAAATAAATAAATCTTTAAAAAAAATTTTAAAATTTAAATTTGCAGGTAGTAACAGTCCCAGGTTTTCTCAAGTGCACAGTCACAGCCCTTACACTAAAGCCAAAATGTGAGGCTGTTTTGTCATCCTCCCCCAGGTTCCCTGATGCTCCCCTGCCGGGGTCAGTCCCTCCCTGACCCAAGCACAGATCTCTTCCTTGTCCTTAGAGTTCAGCCTTTTGCAGAACGTGCTAGACATAGAATCATAAAGTATGTGGGCTTTTTTAAAAAGAAGGTTTATTTATAGATTTGAAAAGTAGAATTACGAAGAGAAAGAGACCAAGATATTTGATCTGATGGTTCAGTCTATGAAGGTTGGGCTGGGCCAGGCAGGAACCAGAACTCCACCCGGGACTCCCACACAGGTGCAGCGGCCCGAGGACTTGTGGCGTCTTCCACTGTTTTCCAAGGTCGTAAGCAGGGATCTGGGTCACAAGCGGAGCAACTGGGACTCAAACCCATGCCTATGTGGGAAGCAGGTGTCCCAGATTTGGGCGTGACCCGCTGTGCCTGTGTGTAGCCTTTTGATTATGGTTTTATTAGCACGCTGTGCGTGGCTGTGAGGCTCCAGAGTTCACCCCTCACAGGGAAGGGCCACCTTCACCCCTCATTTGGATTGTCTCTCATTTTTACTAATTATGAACAATGCTGCTTAGACATTTGTGTGCAGGCTTTTACATGAACATAAGCTTTCACTTTGCTGTGAAATGTTTCTAGGAACTGGCTTGTTGGGCAATATAGAAGGTATATTTTTAATCTTTTTTTAAGATTTATTTTATTTTTATTGGAAAGTCAGATATACAGAGAGGAGGAGAAACAGAGGAAGATCTTCCATCCGTTGATTCACTCCCTAAGTGGCCAAAGTTGCGCCAATCCGAAGTCCCAAGGCTTTGGGTTGCCCTTGACTGCTTTCCCAGGCCACAGGCAGGGAGCTGGATGGGAAGTGGGGTGCTGGGATTAGAACCAGCACCCATATGGGATCCCGGTGCATGCAAGACAAGGACTTTAGCCACTAGGCTACCGTGCCAGGCCCCATACTTTTAACTTTAAAGGAAACTGCCTCGGGGCCAGCACTGTGCTGTACAGGCTAAGCTCCACCTGCAGTACCAGCATCCCACTGGTCCCGTTAAACTTGAACTCTGGTTCAAGTTCATCAGGTTATCTCAGAGTTGTCACCTGTTGATTATCTTTCCTGGAGAAGTAGCCACTTTTTTCTTATTTTCTGGCTGTCAGGTAAGTTTGGGTGGTAGCTTAGATATTTGGGTATAATCTTTTTTTTCAGGTTTTTTTTTAAAAGATTTATTTATTTATTGGAAAGTCAGATATACAGAAAGGATGGGAGACAGAGAGGAAGATCTTCGTTCCGATGATTCGCTCCCCAATAAGCGCAACGGCCAGTGCTATGCCGATCCGAAGCCAGGATCCAGGAATTTGCCTCCAGGTCTCCCACAGGGGTGCAGGGTCCCAAGGCTTTGGGCCGTCCTCGACTGCTTTCCCAGGCCACAGGCAGGGAGCTGGATGGGAAGTAGAGCTGCTGGGATTAGAACCGGCACCCATATGGGATCCCGGGGCGTTCAAGGCGAGGACTTTAGCCACTAGGCCACACCATCGGGCCCGGTATAATCTTTTTATAAAGATTTATTTTTAGGCAGAATTGCTGTGAGAGTGAGATACAGAGAGAGACTCTTGGATCTCCAGGTTCACTCCCTAAATGGCCGAAACAGCCAGTTTGGGCCAGGCGGAAGCCAGGAGCTTCTTCCAGGTTTCCCACGTGGGTGCAGTGTCCCAAGGACTTGGACCATCTCCTCCTCTTTTTCCAGGTAATAAGCAAGGAGCTGGATCAGAAGTGGAGCAGCCAGGAGTTGACCCAGCATCCAAATGGGATGCCAGCATGGCAGGCAGCAACTGTACAAACCATCCACACCATAGTGCTGGGCTCTTGAGTATAATCTTGATCTTATTCAGGTTATTCTGGAGAGCGCTGATTTTTTTTTTTTAAGAAAGAGGCAGAATTCTTTTTTTTTTTTTTTTTTAGATTTGAAAACATTTTTATTGGAAAGGCAGATTTACAAAGAGAGGGAGAAACAGAGAGAAATACCTCCTATCCACTGGTTCACTTCCCAAGTAGCAATAATGGCTAGAGCAGAGCCGATCCAAAGTCAGGAGCCAGGAGCCAGGAGCTTCTTCTAGGTCTCCCACGCGGGTGCAGGGTCCCAAGGCTTTGGGCCATCCTTGACTGCCTTCCCAGGCCACAGGCAGGGAGCTGGATGGGAAGTGGAGCAGGTGGGACATGAACCCACATTGGATACTGGTACACGCAGGGGAGGATTTAGTCAATTGAGCCAATGCGCCAGGCCCAGAACACTGATTTTATTTTCTCATGCGAGGAAATGCCTGTTTTTTATTTTAACTAAAGAAATTAAGATTACTTGTTATTAATTTCCTTTTTTAAAAAAGATTTTATTTATTATTTTTATTGGAAAGGCAGATATACAGAGAGGAGAGACAGAGAGGAAGATCTTCCGTCCGATGATTCACTCCCCAAGTGAGTGCAACGGCCTATGCTATGCCGATCGGAAACCAGGAGCCTCTTCTGGGTCTCCCACGCGGGTGCAGGGTCCCAAAGCCTTGGGCCGTCCTATTAATTTCCTTTTAAAAATGTTTATTGGGGCCCGGTGGCGTGGCCTAGCGGCTAAAGTCCTCGCCTTGAACGCACCGGGATCCCATATGGGCGCAGGTTCTAATCCCGGCAGCTCCACTTCCCATCCAGCTCCCTGCTTGTGGCCTGGGAAAGCATTCTCTTGGTGGCAGCTGGCTGTTGGGAGCATCCCGGCCCTAATGCCGTGTTTAGATGGACAGGTGTCAAGCCATCCTTGGATGGATTCACTGTGCCTCTTGCATCTGAAACTTCTCTTACAACTTCCCAAACAAGTTTGGTTTTCCCTTGAAGTGTGTCTGCTCAGAGCTTTTCCTTCTCATCAGCAGGGAGCTGGTGGGAAGTGGAGCAGCAGAGACTCAGCCGGTGCCCATGGCGGAAGCTGCCGTTGCAGGAGGCGGCTTTACTGGCCACAGTGCTGTGCCCCTCTTCACACTTCATTACTTTTACTTGCTCGTGCTCTCTCTTCCTGTTTTCAAACGGACACCATTTCCTGAGGATGCCCAGTGCAGTGCCCCACTGGTTCAGTCCATTGTTCTGTGCAGTAGAGAATGCTTTTGCGGGAGGTCACAAGGCGGGGGTCTCAGCAGGGACCCAGCCCGGAGGCTGGCAGAGGGAAGCAGCGATTCTGCAAAGCACTGGGAACCCACCAAGTGCTAGGGGCCAGCGGGGACAAGGGTAGGCATTGAGGGGGCTAGGAAGTCAGATGGCTGCAGGGAGGGCCCCCCTAAGGAGGGTCTGCTTAAGGACCTCACACACTCAGGGGAGCCCACCAAGCTCTTGCCTCCCGGTCAGGCGCACTGATCCAGGGGCTGTCCAGAGGAGAGAGTCTGGAGGTGTTGAGAAAGCAGCTGGGACAATAAGCAGGGAATGCGTAGGCAGAGGAGCGAGGGCCAGGCCAGACAAAGAAACCCCAAGTACCTTCTGCCGGGCCAGCGTGTCGTGGGTCCCAGCAGTGTAACTTGGGCTCTCTGACTCTGCAGAGGGGTCCGCAAACCCTGGGAAATCCTGGCATCCTTCCCAAAAGGCTATGAGGTCATCATGGAGCACCTGTTGCAGAGGCTGATTCCAAACAAGTACCAGGACCTGGAACCCAGCTCACACACTGTCATCTCCCCGCTGATTGTAAGGAGGGGGCTACAGAGGTCTCCCCACCCTACCCATGCCCCCATGCCTTCTCCTATGCCACCTGAAGCTTGGGGCGGGGGTAGGGGAAAGGATTGCCAGTTGCTGGCCTAGTGTGGGAGACAGGCAGGGAGCTGGGTCCTGGTTCACTCCATGCCTATCCTGGGGTGAGCTTAGGAAAGACAAGTGGCTGCCCTGCCCTGCCTCTCACTGAGCAAGCGTGCGGTGCAGTGGGGAGAGCTGGTGGTCGAGGGCAGGGTGGTAACGTCCGCTCCCCCGGCCCACAGGCCACCAGGGCCATCCATGAGCTCCTGCTGGAGCCCAGCCGGCGCATGGAGGTGCAGAGTTTCTTCTCGCCGCTGTTTGTGGCCCTGCTGTGCCAGGTCTCCTTCCTCGTGGTGGAGGGCTGTGCCGAAGCCATGCAGGACCAGCAGCATGTGACCAACTGGGTGGATCCCGTGAGGTGCCCGTGCTGCCCTGGGGCCCTTTCCATGTCCCACTCCAAGGCTGCGGCGGGCTCTCTCTCGACACTTAGTGAGCAAAAGCGAGGCTGATGCTAAGATCCCATTGCCCACCCTCCCCTCCCCCCAACTCCTGGGGCAGTCAGCACAGTGAGTGAAACAGCTTGGGGACCACACACCTCATCCCCCCTCCCTGCCCTTCTTGGGCATAGTGGCCTCTTTTGAGAACTGTCCCTGATTCTCAGCGGGTGGCACAGTCACTTCCTGTCTGCCCTCTGCCCCTCTCCCAGCTCCACCGTGGAAGCCCTGAAGACTTTGATGCGATGCTCAGGGTACGCAGACCATGTAACTTACATCCGGAAACTGGGGGGCTGGGAGCTGCTCGTCAACCCCGAAAGGCACTATGATGGGGTCACTTTGCTGGCCAGGTGAGCTGCCCTCAGGGCAGGGGGTGGAGTAGTGGGGTGGTGGGGGAGGTTGGCTGGCTGTCCCCTCAGCCAGGTCCTGTAGTGCTGGCCATATCCCTGGCCCCTACTCTCCTTGGCAGGTCCTTGGTGGTCATGAACTGTTGGCACAACTGCCCTGTCTTCAGTCACATCGTCAGGCTCCTCCAGGACCTGGAGTGTGTCAGCCACCTCACTGCCCTGGTGTTCCTGGTGGAGGTGACCGGCTCCTGGAGGGAGGAGGAGGAGTACAGGGGAGGGGGCTCCTCTGGGAGGCAGACACGGCCAAGGGACTTTGCCACAGAGGAGCTCTGAAAGGAACATCTCCAATTAAGGGCCAAGTGCTTGAGCCCTGGTGCCTGCATGCAAAACCTGGAAGAACCTCCAGGCTCCTGGCTCTGCCTAGCCCCACCCTGGCCATTGCAGCCATCTGGGGAGTGAACCAGCAGATGGGAGATGCACTCTCTGGCTCTCTGTAAACCAGATAAATTGTAAAAAATAAATAAATAAATAAATCACATCAATAATGTAAGCAGCTTGGAGTGAGCCTGCAGGAGGGATGAATGTGTCTGGATTTTGCGCTTGACCTAGGAACTGGCTTGTTGGGCAATATAGAAGGTATATTTTTAATCTTTTTTTTAAAGATTTATTTTATTTTTATTGGAAAGGCAGATATACAGAGAGGAGAGACAGAGAGGAAGATCTGACCAGGGAGGCAGGCCCAATCCTGAGCTTGTACAGGTTGTCTTCTGCAAGGCCACTCCCGGCAGTTTTTCTCCATCTACTTCCACCAGCTGCTGCAGTGTCCAGAGGTGGCGGCCATCGTGGATGACATCACCACTCACATCCTGGCCAGTTGGTTCAAGTATGAGCAGCCCAGCACACTGAAGGTGTTGCTGCACATGGCTGAGGTCTTCGGGAGACACCCAACCACGGTGAAGCGAGGGCGGGAGCTGAGGGTCTCCGCGGAGGGATGGATGAGAAAGGCATGAGACTGGGAGGAGGGTGGGCAGAGAAGGTCAGTGCTATAAGACCGGGCTGGGCTGGGTCACTGTGTCTTGAGTCACTGGCTCGCCCCGCAGGAGCGACGGTTCCGCATCCTGCAGCCCCACGTGCTCAACTGCTGCTACAGCACCAATGGGGACATTGTCACAGAGACCCTGCAGGTGCTCAATCGCCTCCTGCAGCATCTCACCTGGGAGGTCTCCTCCTCCTTCCTCATCCAGCTCTCCTTCACGCTGGTGCCCTTCTTTGAGGAGGTGGGGTGAAGGCTGGGGAGGGAGGATTGAGAGGTGGGAGTCACCCGACCAGGGGACTGAACCCTTGGGTGTCTTTTCACTTAGGAGTCAGAGCACCTGCGCCTGATGGCATTCGAGGTCTACAGCAGCCTCCTGGCCAAGGTCAAGAGGAGTGCACTCGTTTTCCCCTTGAGGCACCAGGTGGTCAACCTGCTTGTCCTCTTGGTGCTGCACCTGAAGGACGAGAGCCTCAACGTGGCCCAGGTCAGTGGCTGCCGGGCCTCTCCCACACTGGGAGGCCTCAGCAGGGGCTGGGACTGAGCCGGGGCCCTCTCTAGCTGCCGGGTCTGTGTGGCATTGGCTGGCAACTCCTGGGGGACTCCCTACAGCCCAGCTCCGGGCCCTCTTTCTGCCTGCCCTGGGCTCTGGGGGCCTCTTCCTAACATTGCTGATTGTGTGCCCTGCCTTGCCATGGGGCGGAGACAAGGTTCCTTGGGTGGGCCGGGGGCTGGGGTAGAAGGTTCCCGAGAAGGCAGTGAGGTTGTGGGGGGAAGGGACACTGCAGTGAGGTTCCAGAACTGACTTACGTTGTGGGGTGCATGGGCTGAGCTGGAACCCAGGAGGTTCAAGCCTCCATGAATTTCGAGTCAGCAAACTGGGAAACTGGATAGCTCAGTCTGTGCTGGGGTGCCCCTATGCCCCAGGGCTGGTATTTTGGTGGGCCACAGAGCAGGACCGGGCAGGTGCATCTGCCCCAGTCATGGCCAGAGCCGCCGGACAGGGCTGTGGGCTCCCTGAGCCTTGACCATTGCAGAGTGTGCCCAGCAGGCCCGCAGTGGGCACTGGTGGACTGGCGGTGATGTTTCAATGGGCGTAGCAGCTGCCAACCTGGCCAAGGAGACTTTGGGGAGGTCTATTTCTGTAGGATGGGGCCCCAGGGCAGGTAGCAGTACTTTGCCCTGGGTTTCACAGCAGAATCTCAGCCACTTTCCACCTGTGGATGAGAAGGGTGTGAGCTGAGTCCCAGGCCTGGATGTCCCCCACCTTCTCATATCCCTGGACTTCTATTCTGGAGTCTCTGCTCCCTGCTCCCTTTCTTGGTCTCCGCCGTCTCTGCCTAGCACCTTCCTTGTCTCCCCAGGTCAGCCGGCTTGCCCTGAGCCACACGGTCATGCTGTTGCACTGGTCGAGGCTCAGACTGGTGGTGGCCGAGGAAGATGAGTTCACCATCCTCAGAGCCCTGGTGAGCATCCCTGGGTGGGGCAGGGCAAGGTCACGGCTATTCGGCTCTGCACTTGGCAGCAGCTGTGTTGGCTGCAGCGACAGCTCCAAGGTGCTTGCTGCTTATCTCTGTGCTCGGCCCTGGCTGCCACTCCTGCCCACTTAGTGCCTCCTGTCTAGCCGGGCACACAAGTAGATACTTCTGGAAAACAGTAGCTCAGCCCAGCCTGGGAGTGGAAGGTAGGCTTCCTGGGAGAGGTGTTGGAAGGCAAAAGGAAGAGAGTGGTGTAGCCACATCCTGTCCCTGTCCCCCAGCCCTGGCTGCTCACAGCTGGACAGGGGCTGTGGGGGAGCCCCAAGTGCCTAGGGGTCATGGGAGTAGAGACTTGTAAGGCCACATGGGAAGTACAAACTGGAGCAGACTGGCGGCCCAGGGGAGACTCCTAGCTGCACAGGCCAGCTGGGACTGCTGTCATCTTGCTCAGATGTGAGGCGTCCTTGTTTTTGCAATCCCACTCCCAGTACCCAGGGTGAAGCCATTAGTAAATAACTCCTCAAAACACACAGATGCCCACGCTAGAGTGGGGTGAAGGTGCTTATGCTCAGATGACGTGTACACATTCACACAGCACACTGTTACATGCCAGATAACATACACTATACACGTGCCCAGCTGCCCCAGGAGACATGACAGGATAGAACCACCATGGCCTCATCTGCTGTAAGTGCAGGCACATGGGCGAGCCACGCTGGGGACTCAAATCCTGCAAGAAGTGCCACTGCCGGCGGTGCGCGTTTCGAAGCCATGAGTCCCTGCTGGTGGCGTCCTGGACAAAAAGGAGCATTGTCTCTGCTGTCTGTCCCAGGTGCATTTCTAGAAACATCTGGGGTATGTTCAAGCTGGGAAAAAGTACTCTGTGTTATGAAGGACAGTCACATGTATGAATGGGGTTTTGATGGATGCAAACATGCCAGGGGTCGCTGCACGTGAACATCCTCTTTTGCATCGTGGTAACAACAAAAACCATGGCCTGGGTGGCTGGGTGCCTGGGTGGCTGGGTGCCTGGGTGGCTGGGTGCCTGGGTGGCTGGGTGCCTGGGTGCTTGGCTCTGCTCAGCTCCAGCCGAGGACCAGCTAGAGAAGTGGGGACTCCTGGCTGCAGGTCCTATTTCCCAGGTTCCTGAGGCCATCTTTTGCAGGAGTAAGGAGCAAGATCTGGGGCTGCTGGCCGGGGGCAGTCCGTGAAGCCTTGGAGGCAAAGGCAGCATGGGTAGATGGCTGGGCGTCCTAAAAAAGTGGCCCAAGCTACAGCTCTGGGTCCAAGCTGGTGCCAGCTTGGGAGGGCGCAGGCAGAGGTGAGGAAGACAGAGCCTGTGGGAGCTAACAGGTGGGGTGGATGGCCTTGACTCCAGGCTGCACCTAGGTGACCACTGAAGCTTGGCAAGGTTCCAGGGAGGGAATGAAGGCTTGGTGGCACAGGCTTGCACCGATTCCCACGGGGAGAGGCTGGCCCCCGAGGGGGCCTGGCAAGGGCCTGGGGTCACGGGGCTTCTGTCCTTGCAGCTACAGCATCAGGCCAGCAAGGCCCTGTGGTTCCTGAAGCAGAGCGTGGCACTGTTCCGGAGCCCGCAGGCCGCCATCCGCCAGGCAGCCATTTGGTTTGCAGGTACAGCTGTGGTGGTCCCCCAAATGGGCTAAGGTTCCTGGAATCAAGGTCATGGTAGGGTGGACAGTCCCCACCTGCTCCCTCCACCCCTACACACACACCATCCATCCTGCAGGAGGCTTCTGGTCGGGCTGGGTGACCTCCGACCACAGAACGGGTTACATCCCTGACCAAGCTAGCCGGGATATCATGGTTGGAAAGTGGAAGCCCTCCTGGGGGACAGCCTCCTATCAATATGCCATGGGGCTTTGCTCCTGCTCCCAGCCCTGTCTGCCTAGAGCCTTGCAGGAAGCAGAGGGGGCCAACTCCAGGCTTGAAACCACTGGTCGAGGCAAGGACAGACAGGCAGAGAAAGGGGCAGGTGAGTGCTGAGGGCCCCCGTCTCCCTAATGGGGCCCACCAGGATTCCCATGTGTGCCCCTGCAGGCCAGATTATGCAAACCTTAGACATGGATGAGGAGGAGGAACTGGAGGACGCATATGCAGGTGAGTGGCACCTGTCGCCTGCCCCTGGAGGCACGGGTGGGGAGGCAGGGAGATGTGGAATGGGCAGAGGAGCAGGCCTGCCACCACATTCCTGTGAGACCTGGAACCCAAGCCTCAGGCGGGATTGCTTCCTTACCCTATGCCCAGGAAGCACAGGGGCTCCTTTCTCCTGCTGCCCTGCCAACGCTACTAGGGCTGTAGTTACCGTCTTCTGCACAGCTTACCCAGTCCTTATCTGGCACTAAATCCCTGATGTGCCAGGTCCCAGGTGTGGTGGCAGCAGGGGGGGAAGACCCAGGGAGTAGGTGAGGGAGGAAGGTAAGACCCAGGCAGGCTGGCTTCTCCTTGAGCCCCAGGCAACAGCTTCCCCCTACATTGATCCGGCTTATTTACACCATGGGCTCCCGTAAGAAACTCCTGCTCCTGTTTCCAAAGCTGCCAATTCCATGTCCCACGCCATCAACCAGTTCCTCTCCCCAGAGCAGGGCCTGGGTTAGCAGCCTTGGGCCATCCACAGCTCAAAAGCGGTGTCCATTACAGCCCTGAGGTCCATGCGGAGAGACCCCGACCCCATGGTCAGCTGCCTCACCACACAGACACTCTACATCCTGGAAGCCAACCGGAAGCTGTCACAGGCCAAGACTTCCACATCCTGCTTCTGCAGAGGGCGACCCCGCAGGGGCCGGCTGTGAGCTGGGTAGAGGCTTGGCCCAGGTTCCCGCATCCCTGTGGAAACGGGTTAATAAAAGGAGAACCCCTGTACCTCTGGATGTAGCCCGTTTCTGTTCTTGAGCGTCTGGGGGAGGCTGCCTCCTTGGCCACAAAGCCCTGGGCCTCTCCCAGTTCTGCACCCTGCTCACTTCTCCCACGTGACCACATGTTCTGAGGCAGGGCCTGGTAGCTTCTTTGGAAACCAACTTGGATTGCCAATGGGGTGCTGGACACAGGAGGTGCTCTGGGAAGTGTCCAGGATGGCGAGCAGCTCTGCTTCAGTTAGCTGAATCATCCAAGTGACATATTAACAGGTTAGTGGAGAGTTCCCGCCTCTGCCCCCCAGTATCAGAGGAAGATCAGAGGACTGCTCTATAGACAAACACCACTATTGGCTCCTTGGTGCAGCCCAAACCATTACTCAAGTGACTACACTTGGGCCTGGAGCCTTCGGAGAGAGCCCAGAACCCCCTTCCCAAGTCAGGGAGCACCCATGGGCTCCCACTGCTCTGGCTGCAGTTGGTCTTCCCCAGGCCGGTCTGTCTGACAGAGTCCCTGGGTGCCTCTTGGCGTCTCTACAGGGTCATGCACTGCTCCCACAGCCCTGTTACCCCCATCCAGGGTATCACCAGTGACCCCTGACCTCCAGCACATGCAGCTCTGGCTGCAGCAAGGTGGAGGCCTGGCTGGTGCAGTGTGTGCCTTGCAGGGCCATCCCATCACCCTGACCCTGGGGGACACACTGTGCTCCCACCTCACTGGCTCTCTCCGCCTCCGCATGCTTCCCTCTCGGTGTCAACCATAGTCCTTGCAGTGCTGTCCCAGAAGCTGGAGCGCCCTGCTTGGCAACAAGCTCCCAGATGGCGTTTAGAACCATCCATGTGCCTGTGGCCTGGAAGGCTTGCCGTCCAGCTCCCAGATCAGCCAGGACCCAGCACCTGTGGGGACTTTATCTGCTGATGGCAGTGGACATGGACACCCGAGGATTTTGACATCTTCCTACCCCTGCAGTGCCTCCTGCCACAGACAATCTCTTTGTTATAAGCAATGGACTTAAAACCTGCTCTCAAAGATCTTATTACAGAGGCCAGGCGCAGCAGCCCAGTGGCTCAAGTCCTCTCCTTGCATGTGCCGGGATCCCACATGGGCACTGGTTTGTATCCCAGGAGCTCCACTTCCCATCCAGCTTCCTGCTTGTGGCCTGGGAAGGCAGTCAGGGATTGTCCAAAGCCTTGGAACTCTGGATCCCTATGGGAGACCTGGAAGAGGCTCTTGGCTTCAGATTGGCTCAGCTTTGGCCATTGCAGCCACTTGGGGAATAAATCATCAAGATCTTCCTGTCTCTCCTCCTCTCTGTATATCTGACTTTACAATTAAAATAAATACATAAGAGGCCAGGAGCCTCTTCTGGGTCTCCCATGTGGGTGCAGGGTCCCAAGGCCTTGGTCCCTGCTCGACTGCTTTCCCAGGCCACAAGCAGGGAGCTGGATGAGAAGTGGAGCTCCTGGGATACAAACTGGTACCCATATGGGATCCCAGCATGTTAAAGGTGAGGAGTTTAGCTGCTAGGCTACTGTGCCTGGCCCAATACATTTTTTTTTTTAAGATATTACAGACAAGTGAATAGGTGCATTCCACAGATCCCGCGGCCAGCTGTGTACGGCTTTAGTGGCCTCCCTCTGACCAGAGGGGGCTGGGAGAGCATCCTTAGGGTTCTGTTCAGCCTGGACAGGAGACAACCCTGTTGGATCCCAGCAAATGCTGCTTCCCATGTCTGAGACAATCCCTCGAGGCTTATACCTTATGCAGGGTGTGTTCCTTCCCCACCCCCCGTTTTTTGTTTTCTAGGTGATTTTTAAAAAGTAGATATTTGTAAGTTGGGAAAAAGAGCTCCCACGCTGGCTGCCCCACATACAGGCATGTCTAAGCCTAGTGTCCCTCCCTCTCTAGTTGCCAGGTGTCCTGATCACAGGGCGCTCAAGTGGAAAGGCCATTCTGAGGCCTCTGACTGCTACAGGGGTCTACTTGTGCCACCTGCAGTTGGCAATGTGGGACGTGTGTATGGGGTCCGTGCATAGTGCGGTAGAGCTGTTGGCTGGGAACATGGCTGCAAGAGGCCACCCAGCCTGCTCCAGTGAGGTGCCAAACATCCTGCCCCACGGGGGTGGGGGCTGCGTGCTTCCCTCCGTGGTCAGGGCCTTTCCCTGCAAGGAGGAACAACCCCTCTGCCCATGATGACCTCTGCATGAAGCAGCTGGTCTCTGCCCTCCATGAGGGGCAGGAAAGGAGGTGTTGCCAGTCTCCCAGGGGTGTGATGCACCGCAGGTCCCCAGGGGCTCGTGATGTAGGTGGCTGAGGCTGTGGGAACCCTGAGCCTGCCTGAGTCCCTCCCGCCAGGAGACTGGTCTCATCTCCTGCAGTCGCCACATAACCTGGCCACTGGGGGTGGTGACAACCCAAGGAAAAATGCCAGCAGGTGCTCAGCCAATGCTGACTTACTGTTCCAGCAATTGCATTTGCCCCAAGGGCTGACCTACAGAGTCTGGAGAACATTGCCCTCTGGGCCACATCTGCACTGGTGATGGTCAGTGGGGTTTTATTTAGGACATCTTAGAACACACACATCCCATCTAGGAACAGGAGGGTACAGCAGGCGGTTCCCATCACGTTCATACACTATGTACAGCCGGCGGCAGCGGCAAAGGTACAAAACAGACACACACTTTGTGCACAAGCCCGGGCAGGCAGGCTGGTGGCAAGAAAAGGCTGCTGGGCAGGGCACGGCTCTTCTCCGTCCCTTGGCTCCCAGCTGCTACTGCCTGGTTCCTGCTGGGCTCTGGGCTCGAAGGTTCAAAGGACTGAGCTGGGCACGGAGGGGGCAGGAGGATGACCAAGAAACAGCACCTTCCCTTGCGCTGAAGACCGCGGGAGCTCTGAGAGGTGATGGGGTAGGGGCTGAGGCTGGCCTGGAGGAGGTGGCCCTGGCCTGGTAATGACAGTAGCAAGTGTTCTGCTCATGGTGTAAAGGAGCAGGTGTCACAGGTTTGGGCCCTGTGGTGGGAAGGAGCTCCTGGCTTCTGCAGGTCAGGCCTCACCCCATTTGGGGCACACCCAAGAATCTGCACCTGCGCTAGCCCAGATGTCATCAGAGGAGCTCCCCAGTAGCCACTGCCTGTGGTCACCCACTGTAGGAGGTGCCTGGGGGTCTGTGTTTCAGCTTCCTCCCCACAGTGGCTTGTTCCCTGGACTTACCACTGGTTGGCCAAGGTTGGCCATGGCTGGCCAACTCTGCCACTGAGGGCAGGGCACTTCCCCAGCCTCTGGTTGGGCTAAGGGGGTATCCAGCCCCCTCAAGGGTGCAGGGGAGCCAGTCTTCTTCTTCCCGTGTTCACCCACCCCTGGGGAGGGTCAGTCACTCACATGATAAACACTAAACTGGTTAATACCATGACCGGGGACTGGTCCCCAAGGGCAGAGGGGACTTGCCATCTGCTTCACAAGTGTGGGCGGGGGCTCGGCCGCAGAGAGAGCCACTCTGTGTCCATCAGGCGGGGTCCCAGCCCGCGCCCCAGCATTTGAAGATTTGGGTGTGGGGTCTGGATGGGGCCCTGGGCACACACATACAGCATGGAGGGAAGGGAAGGAGCAGGGTCAGCCCCAGAAGCAGGATGAGCCGCAGGCCCTAGTCTGGTGCTATTGTGCTCAATCATGATCATGCTGTGCTTCCAATGATGCTGGGCATCTGGGCGCTGGCCGAGCACTGGGCGGAGCTGGGGGCCTGCCCCCTGACCATGGACCTTGGGCTCCCTGAGAGTGGCAGAGCCGGCACTCCGAGCACAGCTCCGAGCGGCTCAGGGCTCCCAGGCCTTCAAGTTGATTAAGGGATGCTCGCCAGGACAGCAGAGCCGGCCCTGTGTGAGGTAGCTGACCCAGCGGAAACAGCAGGAAACGGCTGTGGTGCCCAGCACCTGGCCCTGGTGTGGGCAACCTGGGACTTCTGGTTCCAACAGCTTATTATCAGTCATGCAGACAGGGCTCTTCCTAGAGGCTGCACGCCAGCCTTCTGTCCAGCCACAGAGGAACAAGGTGGGTGGCAAGCAACTTGGGGTGACTTCTGGGTGGTCCTCTGCTGTTATCACTGAGGCTGTCCAGGTGCCTGAGGCCAGGTTCAGGGGTGTCCTTACTGCAGCTCAGCTAGCCCAGAGTTCAGCACCGTGACCTTCTTGGCTCCTGGGCCAGCCCTGGGAGGTGGCCAGGCCTCTTTGGCCTTCACTGGATCACATAGGCCGGAGGGAGGGCAGCCAAAGCAGAGGCCAGCTTGGCTGAGTCCCGGTCATGGTGCTGCCTGAACGGAGCTAGGGTCACCCAAGACCAGTGAAGCAACATAACCCAGTGTAGATAGGTTGGGGGCGGGCAGGGGGCCTGCCCCTCTCTGGAGGCCCATTCCTGTAAATTCACTGTGGCCCCACCAGAGGGCGCTAGGGTCTGAGGAGAGGAGAAAGCAGCTCGCCAAGCTCCCGGACAGGCAGGGCTGGTGCCCAGGCTGGTTTAAGGCTAGGAAGCACAGCTGCTGATGCTGACTGCCAGGGAGGGGAGGCGCGGAGGAGGGCAGGGGTGCTGGGTGGTCTTCACCCCCACGGCCGCCCCCGGCAGTTCACTGAGCTGCTTTCTCTGTCACCTTGCAGGGACCCTGACCCAGCCCTGCCTCTCTGGGTGGTGGGCATGAGGCCCATGGAGTAGAAGACACGTGTGGCAGGCGGGCATAGCTGGTGTAAGGCTGCCCAGCACGGGTGCCAGGCCCCAGGATGGGGAAGGCACTGCAGCGTCGGGCGGCTTGGAGGCCAGGGGCACACTGGGAGGGTCCCTGGGTGTGCTGGGTGGAGGCAGGGGCAGGGACAGGCCGAAGCTGCAAAGGGTGGAAGGGAGCAGAAGCCCCAAGAGCTGAGGGGAAGAACACGTGGGAAGAAACTTCAAGTCAGTTTCCAGGAGGCAACGGCAAAACACAAAAATGAAAACATAATAAATTAAATGACTAGTCTGCCGGCCCATGTCCCCGGAGCATGCTTCCCAACAGCTCTGCCCAGGCCCGGCCGTCAGGGACCGAAGGGGCCAGGGCCAGCTGCCTGCACTGGCTTCCAGGGCTGCCTGAGGACTCTCGCTGGGCTCAGAGGCAGGTGTGGCGACTCCTGGGCTGGGATGGGACATGGAGGGATGTGGCACCTGGGGCTGGGACTTCAGGGCCCTCCCTGGAGGCTCGGCAGGAGACCACGTGGCCAGTGGTGGCAGGGAGGGGAGGGGGTGAGTAATGCCCTTTGGCTTCACAGCTTGATCCTCTCAGCCTCTCCCTAAGGGGCAGTGCTCAGTGGGAGGCCGAGAGGAAGTGGGGCAGGAGAGGGGCTGCAGCCTCTGTGCCCAGCGCATGCCCCTACAGGCCGGACCACAGTTTCCCTTGCCCAGCATCCGGGTGGCCGGGGCCGAGGGTCCGGGCATCCTTGTGCCTCGCTCCTAGGATGGGCCACCAGGCAGCCGCCGGACACTCCAAAACTTCACCGTCAGGTCACTGGGATGGAGGACAGAGAGGTGTTGGTCAGTTCAACAGTGGGCTATGGGGAGGGTCTCTCAAAGCCCGCAAAGGCAGCTGAGGCCGTGCGGGGCAGGAACTGCTCGGAGCTAGGCGTGCGGGGCAGGGGGACGAGGCCCATGGGGCCTTGGGGCTTCCTGTGTGGCAGATGCTCCCCCCTGCTTGGCACCTGGCACCCCTATCTGGGGGGTGGTCCCACTGCTCATGCTTGGAAGAGGGACGGGGGGTGGGCAGGGGGCAGGCAGCGGCCGGGCCAGGCAAGCTATAGGAAGAGGAGAAAAAGAATCTCGTACCGTGAAGAAGCAGCTCAGATCGAAGAGGGGAGAGAGGGGAAAGGAGAGAGACAGGGGAGGAGGGAGGGTCAGGGCAGGGTGGTGGCGCGGCCTTTTATGGCCAGGACTCGGCGAGGAAGGCAGGGGGTGAGTCCAGGGACGTAATTCCACAGCTTGACCCGGCAGTCACTGTGGGGGGAGAGAGGCGGGAGGCGGAGCCGGTGGACACGGGAGGGACAGGGAGAGGAAGGACACAGTGGGAACAAGAGAAAAGAACTCGTCTAAGGGGCGCACCCCGGGGCCGAGGGCACTGGCTGCAGGGGTTGCGCTGGGTGGCCTGCAGTACCTGCAGAGACCGTGGTGTGGGCCAGGAAGGGCTTGGAGACCCACTCTGGGTCCCAGCAGCTCCCTGCTCCCCTGCCCGGTGCAGTGCCTGGCATGGTGGGCACCCAGTGGAGGCCAAGTGTGGCAGGCGTACTAAGGGGGGGCATTGCAGGGTCCCCCACCCACAGCAGGAGGCGGCTAAGGGCAGGGGCAGCCTCCTCGTGGTGTGACACCCACCTGGAGCCCGTAAAGATGTGCTTGGCATTGGTGCAGATGGCGTTGATGGGGCTGTCATGGCCCTTGATCTCGCCGATGGGTGTGAAATTGTCCACGTTCCAGACCTTGATGACGCCTGCGCGGCAGGCGCTCAGCAGCATGGGGCGGCCTGGTACGAAGGCCAGGGCGCATACCCAGTCCTTGTGTGCGTTGGGGATTTGCTGCAGAGGGAGCACAGATGGTGAGGACCAGGGGAGTGAGGAGGCAGGAGGGTATGTCCTGGAGTCCCAGTCAGGGTCTCAAGGGCTGGTCTGTGCTGGGGGCCATAGGGCCCCGGGGTGGGTCCTTGTGCCCTGTGCCGGTGGAGATGCTGCCCACTCCCACAGGGGTCAGGCTCAAGTTGTCTGAGCTCTGGTGATAAAAAGCCTGAAGCTGAGCCTTTATAGAGCCAGGGCTGCGAGCAAGGCCTTACACAGGCAGACAGCAGGGGCAGCTCCAGGGAGCTGGGGAGTTGAGGGCAGGCCATGGGGCAGCTATGCATACCAGCTGCCTGCCCGGGGAGCAGTGAGCCCAGACCCCACCCTTCAGCTGCCCCATGGGGGGGGTTCCAGGGACATGCCCCCAGCCCCTGCACCTGGATGAGCTCCTGCTGCTCCAGGTCCCACTTCTTGATGCCGTTGTCCCGGGAGCCACTGAAAAGGACATCTCCCTGGATGGCCAGACACTCGATGCCATCGTAGTGCGGCGGCTCGAAGTTGTGGGTGGGGCTGATGGTGCCGCTCACACACTCACCCAACTCGAACATCTTGTGGTGAGGAGAGAAACGGGAGGGTTGGCCTCTGTTGCACTGCTGCCCCTGGGGACAGACCCCCAGCCCAGGAGGGCAGCTGCTGACCCTACAGGAAGGGGTCTCCCCAGGGCTTTTGGAAGAGGCAACAACAGGGCTGGAGACTTGAAGAGGTTCATCAATGAGAGATGCCAGCTAACCACACAGCACAGGGGACTAAGGTCTAGCGCCCAGGGCAGGAGCCCCCTTTGTAACACTTTTGCTTATGAAGACATGAATTTCACTGTATGTTCTGTAACCAGGCCTCCTAGCATGACCCCGGAGCTCCCACTGCACTGGCTTCAACGGGCGTGGGAAGCAGACCCAGCTAGTGTTGCTGGGACATTTGCCGTCTTGATTTCCCATTTACTATTTCCACAGTGGCATTGTATCCTGTTGGTAGATTTCCCAGAGTTTTCTGGAATATTCTAGATTATTGCAGAATATTGCACACCAGTAGATATTTAGGTTGTTCTCCATTCTGTGCAATCTACGGAGCAGTGCTATCATCTGTCACCTTCCGCATGCTGTCAGCACACATTCTGGGGCCTTCCTGCCTCCCACCTGAACTCCCAGGGTGAGAGGGCAAAGGTTGGGGAGGAGTGACATGAAGGCCTCGGCTACCTTCACATAGTGGTCTTTGGAGCCAGTCACCACGAGGTCGTGCTGGCTGGCGGTCTGCGTGACTGTCAGACACATCACAGGGCCGATGTGGCCGGTCAGCTTGCCCACAGGCTGGAACCTAAAGAGGAGAAAGGCCAGTCAGGGGCAGGTAGACTTTGGAGGGACCCTAGGCTAGGGTAGGGGTATTGCACCCGGGACAAATGGGCCAGTAAGGGAACACTTCCTCCCTTCTAGGTGAGAAAGAATGTGGACGTTAGGAGCAGCGTGGGCAAGTGGGGGTGCAGCTGTGCTCTGTCCGTCCTGCAGGGGTCATGCCCAGCTGAGCCCTGGGTGCCTTCCCTGGCTCTCGCCTCACCTGCTGAGCTCCCAGATGCGCACGGCATTGCCCGAGGCGGCGTACAGCATGGTGCCCGAGGGGCTGAGTGCGATCTGGTTGATCTGATGTTCTCCCTGGGCACTGGTGATGGCACGTGAGGACGTGGCAGCACAGGCGTCCCCCGAGATCACCTGGCCTGAGGACCTGCCCATGAAGATTGGGGGCACAACTACAGGTCAAAATAGTCTGTCCACATGGGCCAGAAAACCAAGCAACCCTCCCTCAGACCAGCTCCTATAAGCTGCTTCCTCCAGGAAGCTTCCCCAGGCTGACAGTGGCAGCCCCACGCCAGCCCAGTACAACAGTGACCACATGGCCTGCCCAGGTGCCCAGGCCCTGCCAGGAACACTGGGTCTTGTGAAAATCACTTAACCTGAATCATTTTCTTCATCTGCGAAAACATAATACCCCTGCTCTACTTTCCTAAGGTGATTTTAGGCTCTTGGAAAATAGCGAACTGAACAGAAGGGCCTGAAGCTTTGCATACACTCAGTCACCAAATACACAACCCCCCACTTCCCATACTCCCTCTCATGTAGGGCCCTAATCACAGCAGCCCACCTCACTGTGACCCTCAGAGCCTCTGCAGCCCATGGTTGGGAGGCCCCCTCTTGGGGTGGGCAGGATGCAGAGGGGATGGATGAGCCCCGAGGCCAGTCTTCCCCAAAGCCCCAGAGCCCTTTGCGCCCACACTGTAAGGGGCAAATGAAGGGACCAATTGTGGCGGACAAGGGCCATGTAAGAGACAAAGCACCACTTTGCCCAAAGCACCCGGGCTTTGCAGGGTCCTGGCCTCCATTCTGTCTCCTGCATGTCTGTCTCCACGCAAAGACTGCCAAGCTGAGAGTTCAAGGCTATCAGGTGGCTTATCTATGCAGGCAGGCGACAGCTCCTATCTGCCAGTCTCAAGGGCAATCTCAAGGGCAGGGCTTTCAGGAACAGGCTGGAGGTAGGAGCCCAACAGGACAAAGGCTCAGCACAGGGCTGGCTCAGACACTGATCCCTCATAGCTAGGCCACGTCTGTGGGCTGCAAGGTCCTTGTGCCTATGTAGCCAGGCTGAGCTGGGCCCATGACGAGGAGCGGGAAGGTGGGTTACTCACGTGAGGGTCCGGATGCACTTGGCTGAGTCCCGGATGTCCCACACCTTGATGTAGGAGGTGGACACGGAGAACACGAGCCCTGAGAGACTGCAGTATTTGATGGACACCACGTTGTTGGGGTGGCCCTTGAGGGCAGCGATCTCCTGCCCCGTGACAAGGTTCCACATCTTGCAGCTGCGGTCTGAGAGGTGGGGACACAGGCAGACATAAGTGGGGGGCCCCTGCCAGCTCCCCCCTGCAAGGGGTTGCTCAGTGTCGGGAAGCCACAGACGTGTGTGCTTGTAGGCGAGAACATGTGCTCCAAGAGCCTCAGGGGACGCAAGGTGGCTCAAAACTGCAGCATGCAAGCATGCAGCAGGTGCCAGTCCCCTGAGCATGGACAAGGTACCCTAAGCTAAAGTGAGAACCTCAGGCCCTCGGTGCCTGGTCCTACCATTGCTGATGACTAATGAAACAAATGAACAGGTAGAAAAGAACTCTCAGGGGGAAACCAAGACCCAATCAGAGACTGTTAGCCTGACTGACAGCTCTTGTGTCTGCCATAGAGATGGGAGACCAACCTTCTACCAGTAAAACTGCCACCTCTGTGACTGGGACTAGGCGCCATATGACTTTGGGTGATGTTGGGGGTGAGGTGGGAGCCTGAGAAGCTTCCTGAAATTTCTGGGGGAGCTCTGGAGAGTGGTACTGAGTGGGGTGCTGGGATTAGCTATGAGGGAAGGCTCATGGGTGTGTGAGACGGGAGATGACAAACAGGGATGCTGAGTGAGTCTGCCTCCACACTCGCCATTCCTGGGGACTCTGTGTTTGACCCCTTCACTATCCATGCTGGCAAAGGAACCTGGGAGAGGAGGGAGAGTGTCCACCCTCCCTGGCCAGCAGGGGATTCCACCCACCTTTGGACCCTGTGAAAAGCAACTCATCCGTGGCATCCAGGCAAAGGATGGGCTTGGTGTGGCCCTCGGCCATGGAGATGCACTGCAGTGGGGCCGTGCGTGCGCCCTTGGTGCCTCCGACAGGTGTGATGATGCCCCTTCCGGGAGAGAGAGACAGGGGACAGAGCCATCAGCCGGGGGGATTGCGGCCAGACAGTTGCGGGCGAACGGGGAGCAGGGCAGAGAGGGGAGTAGGGCCTAGTAACAGAGATTCCATGGGCTCCAGCCCAACTCCACTGTGGTTTGAGAGCAGGAATGAGCTGTTACGGGGTGGGGGCTGCCCCAGATAGCTCTGTCAGTTGGGGTCCTGAGCACTACCATGAAGTAAAGCTCTGTGCCGAGCCCTGCTCCCGCAGCAAAGCCTTCACCTCACAGGGCCTGATCCAGGGGAGGGCAGAGGCCCAAGTGCTGGGTTCAGCCCTGCAGCTGCTGCTAGTTGCCAGCAGGGAGCAGGGTGGGGGAGCATTAGGGGGAACCTTTGGTCCAGGCCCTCACCCCTAGGTACCCCATCCACAAAATGCCCACTGGCCAGGATGGCACCTCCCAAGCAACTTGCATGCCTGTACATGTATACACACATACCAGCACATGTACACACAATGCTACCACAGCCCTTGTGGGCCAGTGTGGTTGGACCCATGATGTCATATACAAAGGGTAGATCCTGCCTGGGGCCTCTAGAGTGAGGCCACATAGAAGTGACATGACCCTGTACACCTGTGTGATGCCATGAAGGGGTGAGGCTGGCTTGAACACACTTAAGGAGGTTGCTACGCAGCATCAGGGGGGCCTAAGGATGTCCTGCCTCTAGGGACAGGTGCCTGGGCCGAGGAGCTGCTCCGAACAGTCGCACCAAGAGCATACAGGAGTAACCGATGTCCTGGGTGGGACAACTCAAACAACCCCACCCACGCGAGCCAGGCTCTGGCCTGGCATCTCACACACAGATGCTTGCCTAGCTGACATGGACAGAGTGGCCAGGGAGGAGGCCCAAGTGTGCCATGGAAACGTGTCAGGAAGCTGACACCCTGACCAGTCCCGCTATCCCAGGGATGACCATGGCAGACTTGCTGCCCCTAGAGGCAAAGGGTGCTGCCTGGAGGGCAGGAGGCTGGAGGCTCACTCCTGGCTGTGGGGCATCACTCTGGGTGCTGGGAACAGTTGGCCTGTCCTGGCCAAGATGCATGGGTCACCAGGATCCTGGCACAGCCCCCTATACCACCTCCTAGGAGTAAGCAGCCACCTGGCCCTTGGCACCAGCCCAGGTGCACCCTGGGATCTCCGTGCTGTCCCCTCCCTGCCCAGGCCTCGAGGGAGAAGAGCAGGGGCCAGCCACAAGCAGCTGCAGGCCACCCCCCACCCCTGCTCAGGTCGCCGCCAGCTCCAGCCGGGTGTGGTGCAGTCGAGGCCATGCGGCCGGGTGCCTGAGAGGGAGGAACCATGAGGTGGGGACGGGTGTGGGGAGGGCTGTGGAGAGCTGGGGCTGCATGCTGAGGAGGAGCGGGGGTGCCGCCGGAGGTCGGGAGGAGAGAGTGGAAGGAAGGGAGGGGTGAGCATGGGAGACGTTCTGTGTGTACCTCAGGACCTCCGACACAGAGGAGTCGCTGTCATCAGACCTGGGGAGGGCAGAAAATTAGCTGGATTAGGGGGAGATGGGAGAGACACACAGGGCGGCAGAGGCGGCAGCAGCACCAGGAGGTCAGAGGGTGGGTTATTTTCTTCAAGGGGAGCAAGAGAGGTGGAGGAGGGAGCCTTCAAAGGAGGCGAGGAGGGGTAGTCTGCGAACTGGGGGGCTCCCCAGGAGCAAGCACCCGGAGGTCCCCCAGCTAGCAGGGTGGGGCAGGGCAGGAGTGAGGCGGGGCCATGGGAGCACCAGCCCCACACCAGGGTGAGACAGTTGGGGGGCTGTTTATTGGTTCCAAGCTCTCCGGCTGCCCCATGGCACACGCCTACCCATGGCTGGATCAAGCTGCCGGACCTGCTCTGTCCACTCCTTGGAGCTGCTTCACCGGCCAGCCCTCAGGAGCTCACTGGCTTACAAGGCCCTCTGTCCCTGGAAACTGGTGGGACCCTGCTCCCAGGGGCCAGGGCCACCAGCAGGAGGTAGTGACCTGTCCCGTCCTTCCTAGGGGGCCTGTCCACTGTGGCAGCCTGGTGCACCCTGCGTGGTGGGCTGGGCCCGGGCTGAGTGAGGGTCTGCTGGGCCTCCCCCACGGCTGAGCATGGCCAGGGCAGTGTTCTGAGCAGGAAGGGGTGAGGGATTGCTTAGCACCGGGTACAGGGCTTTCTGGCCTAGGGCTCCTTGGAGCACGTGGCTTTGCTGCCTCTTGGGCTAGGAAAGCTTTTAGGCACGCCTGAGAGAGGCTCAGAGTGAGGAACATGCTGGGCCCTGCAGTCTGGGGCCACGGGGACCCCTGCCCCACTTTGCCAGGCAACATGCACTGTTAGGAAATCAGGGCCCTGCTCCTACTCTCTCGCTCATGGGGCCTCATTCCTCTTTTGGCAAAGTACACAATGCTGACAGCGTAAAGGACATGATCCTGGAGGAGGAGAAGGAGGAGGCGAGGGCCCCCTCTGCGGGATACTGTGGGTAACTACAGGTAGCAGGAGGCAGAGATTCAGGGGCTGAATCTGCCCGTGGGGCCACTGGGCCTTGGCTGCAGGAGAGGGGCTAAAGCAGTTTGGAGAAAATCAAGTCAGCCAAGATGGAGCAGTGCTCTTGGGCAGCCCCTGTGTGTGCCCACCCTAACGACGACAATCCCTGGAGCCTCCTTCTTGCCTTTTTTCCTTGCTTGGGGGAGGGCGGGTTCAGGGTCCCCATGGCAAGGGCACAGATGCAAGACAAGGGCTTGAGGCCTCATCCCTTTGAGGGGCCAGTATAGCAGGGCCAGGTCCAGCCAGCTCCTGTGCTCTTCTAGCCAGACCACGCTATGCCTCACACCCTCCCGGCTACCCCTTGGCCCTCCCCTTACTTGTCCAGTGCCGACCCCTGGCTCTGATTACTGGTGAGACGCGAGAAGACGTTGCGATCATTGCGGGGCCGCGTGGGAGGGGACGATGGGGGTGTGAATCCCATGTCCGAGGACCTGGTAAGTGGGAACAGAGTGGCGATGGTTGGCAGCCACACCCCTGCCCGCAGGCCACCCCAGGCACTGGGCTTCCATCTTCTGTCTAGGGGATGAGGCCCATGGGGCCAAGCCCAAGCCCCAGCCATGCTCCTAAGCCTGGTTCTGAAGATCACCTTCCCCCAGGCACAGTCTTCCTACCTGGGGGTTGCCCTGCTTGTTAAAGCCATCTGTGCCCCTTGAAGCCACACCGGGGGTGCTTCGCCTCACTCAGGGTGAGCACAGGCAAGGGGAACCATGCAGTGCTGGACATACCTATTCCCTGTTTGGCTTGCGTCGGCTCTCAATTGGTCAGCAGGTGTCCTCTCCATGGCCCCAGGGCCATGTGAGGTTTTTGGTTTTTGGTATTTTTGTGCTTTTGTTGGTGATTTCAATTTTTTAAATGGCCCCAAGTGGGGCTGGTGCTGTGGTACTGTGGGCAGAGCCGCCACTTGCAATACTGGCATCCCATATAGGTGTCAGCTCCAGTCCCAGCAGTTCTGCTTCCCATCAGGCTCCTGCTAATGGCGTGGGAAAGCAGCACAGGATGGCCCACGTGCTTGAGTGCCTGCACCCATGGCGGAGAGCTGGAGACAAAACTCCAGGTCTCAGTCATGCTGCTCTTGTTCTGGCTACTGCAGCCTTTTGGGGAGTGAACCAGTAGATGGATGGTCTTGCTCTCTCCTCTGTAACTGTGTTTCAAATAAATAAAATCAATCTTAAAAGGAAAACAGAACACTGAGTGCTGTCTGGAGTCAGAAGCTGTGATGTGCCATAGCAAGAAAAGCTGCTGACCGTGTCGTCATTCAGGTGATGCCAGCCAACAGACACCACACACGAGGCCAGGTGTCTTTAAGAGAAACACACCTCAGGCATGGTGAGGCCCTGGCTGGTATGGGCAGAGGCTCTGCCTGATAGCAGGGGGTTGGTTCAGATTTACCTGTCCCGAGTGGCAAGCAACGATGGTGTCTGCAGGTTGAAGGCCTCCTCAGGGCATGGTGGCTCCTGGGCCCCTAGGCCCGCTCTGTGGAAGCTCTCACTGGGCTCTGCCTTCCTGTCCCCTCCCCTCAGAGCGGCCAAGAGTGTTGCCGAAAGCCCTCCATCCACAGGTAATGGGACAGCTGGCCAAACTCCAAGTGAACAGGACCACTCTGCAAGCCACTGGGCTGTGGGCATCTGCCAGAGACTATCCACTTTGTGTGACTTGCTGGGGAGGTCACAAGACCTCCAAAAACTAGGGTGCCTGGGCCAGGTGACCCTAAAGGCACCATACTATCTGCAGATCTAAGCAACCACAGAGCCACCTACGTGGAGTACACACGAGCAGTGGCCTGCAGCATTGGGCTTGGCTAGTCACCCCCGGGTACTGTGTGGAGATGACACCTCCAGGGTCCGCATCTGGCCTGGGTCAGGAAGTCCACCCCTCGGGGCCTGCATTGTGACACAGGCAGTTAAACCACTGTCTGCCATGTCAGTATCCCATAAAAGCACCAATTTGAGTCCTAATTGCTTCACTTCTGATCTGGCTCCCTGCTGACAGGCCTGAAACTGCAGCAGAAAATGACTCAAGTCTTTGGGCCCCTGCACCTATGTGGGAGATGCAGAAGGACTTCCAAGCTGCTGGCTTCAGCCTGGCCTAGTCCCAGCCATGGTGACCTTGTGGGAAATGAGCCAGCAGATAGATCTCTCTCTGTAACTCTGCCTTTCCAACGAATAAATAAATCTGTAAGCAATTCTTTCTAAAAAGAAAGTGTATGTGATGACCCACAGCTGAACCTTGCAGCTGTTCATGCTCCTGAGGACGAGACCGACAGCAATGCTAGAAGATTCCAGAATGTGCTCTGACCTGATGGGCTGTCCTCGGTCATACGACTTCCTGCGGGTCAGAGGGGACGTCTCCGCGGCTCGAGACTGCCGGGGGCTGCAAGAGAAGGGTCCTGTGAGGCCCAGCCTGACTCCCTGCTTGGGCTGACCCACACTCCTGGCTCCCATGCTTACAAAGTGCTGCCCCGGGTGGGCAGGCTGACAGTGCGGGAGACCTTGTCCCGGTAGTAGGGGTCTCGGATGGAGAGGCCCACCCCGTCCTCTTTGATCTCCACCAGAGACGCCAGGGACTTGGTGATATTCTTGGTGGAGATGTCCAGTGGGGGCCCCAGGCACTCGGCCGACACCGCCTTCATTTGGGCAGACAGCTTGGGTTCACCCTGGGGAAAGAAGGGTGTGGTGTGCCAACTAGGCAAAAGGGGGTGGACATAGAGGGGACTACCCTGGATTCTGTAGAGGAGGAGCTGGTAGAAGGCTCCAGCCACATGTCCCCAGAGACTGTGCCCATCAGACACCTGCCAGCCTTCGCGGACCCTACAGCCTGACACTCTGCATGCAAAGCCAGTGCATCTCTTCTGCTCACCAGCTATCAGCTTGCTCCAAAACCACACAGTTCAGCGGCCCCTCATCCTCTCTCTAATATACCCAGGTCTTGGGTTGGTCCCAGAACGCAGCCCTCAGTGCTGGCTAACACACTATGGAGTTGGATTTCTATAGCAAGACAATCATACATCTGGTGGGAGCCTTGACCCATAGCACAAGGCAACCTCATGTGGACAAGGGCAAAGTTTGAAAGTGGGGGGCTGTGGTCACGGTGACATTACCAGGCAGAGTGGGAACAAGGGACAGCAATGGTCACATCCCTGGCCTTCCACTCACTTGGAAAGACTGGGTTGGGAAGGGTTGCCTATGAGGACAACCCCAATTCCAGGGTCCATCCTTCTGGGCACCTCCATCCCCACTGGGGGCAGTGCTGCGTCAGGGCAGGGGAGGGGACCAGGAAGTGGGGAGGCTGGCCACACCACATCAGTGCCCAGCTTCAGGGATGCTCACCTTCAACTTGAAGTCATCATGACTGGTGGAACCTTTCATGGTGAAAGACTGGGAGAAGCTGAAGAAGCAGCACAGAGGTGAGGACAGGAACAACCCTCCCACAACCCCCATCCCCCACACCTGTCCTCTGTCCCAGCTCTCTGAGACTTCAACGTGTGGATCCTGAAGAGCCCTGGAAACCCCTTCCTGCCAGTCACTGGGCCCTGAGTAGAAACTCACCTCCCCTCAGAGAACTCTGAGACCTCCTCGTCTGTGCTGGCGTAGCCGTTCTCTGTGGGAAGAGGAGCGGAGTAGCACTGTTAGGTGTGGGGAGAGTGGGCAGCCTTCCTCCCGAGTCCCATCAGGCCACAGCTTCCAAGACTGGAGGCCAGTCTGGGAAAGTGAGGTCCTGGGAGTCAGAGCTGGGGTCCACGCCTACCCATGCCCTGCTGCACATTGTGGATAAGGGCCTGCAGCTCAGGGTGTGCCTCGGCTTTCTCCCGCAGGGCATCCAGGAGCAGGTGGTTCTGGGAGGAGCCTGCCATGTCCGTCTGCCTCAGTCGCCCCTCTAGCAGCCGGATCTGGGCCTCCTTCTGTGCTACCTGCAGCCCCTGAGGATAGGATATAAGATGTGGGATTATCCATCCTGGCCTGGAAACCCCCTCCATCTCAACCTGCTCCCCATCAGACACCTTGGAGGGCCTCCTAGGTCCTGACACTACCCTTGTGTCTGTCACCCACCCTGAAATGCACCCCAGCCCTCAAGTTTTAGCCCCATACTAGTGAGACCACCTTCAGACACACCCCACTAGGGACTGAACTGTGTCCTTCCCAGTCCAGAAATGGAAGCCCCACCCCCGTGGCCTCAGCATGTGACTGCACACAGTGCCTTTAGAGAGGTAAGTGAGGCAACAGTTGGTCATATGCATGAGCCTGAACCAACATGACTGTATCCTTAGAAGAACAGGACTGGTGCCAGTGCTGTGGTGCAGTAGACAGAGCTGCTGTCTATAGCATCAGCATCGCATACAGGCACCAGGTTAAGCCCCAGCTGCTCTCCTTCTGATCCTGTGTCTTGCTAGTAACCTGGGAGAGCAGTGAACAATGGCCCAAAGCCTTGGGATGTTGAACCCGCATGGGAGACTGGAAGAAGCTCCTGGCTCCTGACTTTGAATCAGCCCAGTACTAGCCATTGCAGCCATTTGGGGAGCGATCCAGCAAAAGGGAGATCTCTAACTCTCCTTCAAATAGATCCACAAATCTTTTAACAAAACTTGCTGGGCCCAGTGCAATAGTCTAGCGGTTAAATTTTAGCCTTGCATCTTCCCAGATCGCACATGGACACTGGTTCACATTCCAGCTATTCTACTTCCCATCCAGCTCCCTGTTTGTGGCCTGGGAAAGCAGAGGATGACCCAAAGCCTTGAGATCCTGAACCCATGTGGAAGAACCAGAAGAAGCTCCTAGCTCCTAGCTTCAGATTGGCTCAGCTTTGGCTGTTATGGCTACTTGGGGAGTGAACCAGTAGATGCAAGATCTTTCTGTCTCTTCTTTCTATATATCTGCCTTTCCAACAATAACAAAAACAAAACAAATAAATCTTTAAAAAGAGAAAACAAAAAACCTTTTCCTTCCCAAAAGTAAATGTCTCTCTCTCTCTCAAAAAAAAAGAACAGGGCATCATGACATGGACACAGAGGTGGCTTCAGGAGGCCGGTGGGCACGAGCAGCACTGATGATCATAGGAAGCCTACTCTATACACTCCCTGGGCATGAACCTCCAGCCTCCGGAACCATAAGGCCATGCATGCTGGGGGGGCCAAGGCCCCAGGGCCGGGTTGCTCGCTAATGGCTGCTCTGGCTGACTTCCGCAGGCCCATCAGATACAGAGCAGAGCTGGAGAACCTCCTGCCTGGAGGAGGAGGGCCAGGGAGGGCCCTCTTCCAGTGCCTTCTAGCACCCACATTGTGGTGTCTGCCCCTGGAGACCACAGGCACATCCACTGCCAAGGACAGAGAAGAGAAGTAGTACTGAATGTTCTGGTACAAACCTTCCTGGCAGAGTATGGGCCACCTGTCTGTCCACTTCCTGCTCTCTCACCCACAATACATACACTGCTATACCGCCAATGGATTCGAGCTCAGCGCTGCAGGGGGCCAGGCCTGTGGGGTCACCACTCATGGCACCAGCCAAGCCCTCTATGTGTATCATCCCATTCAAGCGATTCAGCTGGCTCTAAGTCATTATGCTGGCTTTACAGCTGCAGAACTCGGGGCCCAGTGAGGCAGCTCGTAGCCAGTGAGGTGAGAAGTTGGGCCTGCAGGTCACCGCCAGTCCCTGCGGCTCACCTTGTCGATGGACGCCTTGAGGAAGTTGTCCAGCAGAAGGCGGGCTTCAGCCAGGGAGCAGGAACTAATCACCACCGAGGTGTCCGTGGAGTCCAGCTCCTCCTGGTGCATGGAGGCAGAGATCCCGTCACTCGGGGGATGCCCCTGTCCCCCTAGCTTCCCTAGCCCTCCCAGGGCCGGGCCAGGTGGGCACCTTGGTCTCCTCCAGCTGCACAATGGTGGCCTGGCAGTCAGTGATACTGTCATTGATGTAGTCAATGTTGGCGGCCAGCACTTCGATCTCCTCTGCCAGCTCCTGCAGCCCTTTCTCCTCCTCGGGGCTCTCGGCCTGCAGCCGTTCTCGCTTCCTCCGAAGCGCCTCCTGCAGGAGGAACAGCTCCTCCCTTTTCTGGAGGGCAGAAGGGAGGGAGAGGAGGCCTCAGAGAGCTGCTGACCTTGCCTGGCCCCTGTGATCCCCAGCGCCCTTGCACTTCAGTGGTAGGCAGTCAGGGAGGTGGTGGACCTTGATGAGCCGTTCCATGTCGGCCTCCAGGTTGACGATGGTCATTCTCTGCATGACGATGTCGATGATGCGCCGCTCCAGGGACTGCCACTTGAGCCTGGCTGCCTTGCTGAAGCTCTGGCTTGACCCCTTCTTCTGGAACTTCTTCCTGAGGCACAGAGGAGGGCATTAGAGGAGACTGCAATGAACTCCCAAGCCCACATCTGGAGACAGGGATGGGATGGCAGGCACATTCCCAGCGCCCCTTCCTGCCTCAGTCACCACCCCCCGGGGCCAGGGCATCCATCGCTAGCATGGCTCACCTGGCTGGGCGAGAGCTGTTGGCAGTGGGTGCGGGGTCTCCCAAGAAGTGGTTGATTTTGCGGTTCCACTGGCGCACAATGCTGGAGACGGAGCGGGCACCGGACTCGGCCTCAGAAGAGGTGGTGCTGGCCGAGACCTCGGCCCCAGAGTCCAGCATGGGTGGCTTCAGGCTGGCACGCCCTGCCACCCGCTCAGACATGGGCTTGGCCAGACGCCTCAGGGCAGACACCTGGGGGTAGGAAGGAAAAGGGTGCAGGTGAACAGGAAACCTCTGGGAATAGAGGCTTTTTGGTGCTGGCTTAGGGCTGCACAAAGGCCAAGGTATCCCCTGTGCGAAACGAACCCCAAAACAACTGCCACCTTTTTGTTTGAACAATCAGCTCAGATATCTGGGTGTGGCCTCAGCTCTTCTCACTGTATCAGAGTAGGGTAAGCCAGGAACACACGTCCCCCCACACCCACACCCCCACACCTTGCTCTCCCTTGGGCTCCAACAGACAGAAATGCAGCCTTCACCCCAGTGCTGGGATGCCACCCCCAAGGCCCTAGGGGAGAAGGGGAACACCGTGTGTGCTTCGCTGGAGGCTGAGGAGGCCATGGTCCCCACCAGCAGGGTCTCACCTCCTGGGTCTTCCTCCTTAGTACAATTTCCTGCTGCCGTTTCTGTGACTCCAGAGCCCGGATCTGGAACTGTGGGTGAGAGAAAAGGAGGGGTGGCACCTGAGCCCTGCTGGCCGGCCCAAGGGCCACAAGCCTGGCAGTCAGGGCAGTGCTCCTGCAGCCAGGGGCTGACAGTGTACGATCTGGAGGTGAGCAACCCTGCCCAGAAGTCATGAAGACACACCTTCACTGCACGGCCAAATCCCTCAGCTTTGTCTCCTGCCATGGTCGAGGAGTCCTGGGCCAAGAGCTCAGCTCAGGAGGCCTCTCTGCAGGTTGGCAGCCATGTGTTGCTGCCCTGCTGGCCTTGGGCCGGGCACCGCCTTGCTCTGGGGCTCACACCCTCCTTGGAACACATAGCGGTTGGACCGGAAGTCTACAAGGCCACGCCCTTCCCTGCTAGGCTGCATTCTACCCTGAGCCCAGTGAGGACCGAGGACCGAGGCTCAGGTGGGTGGGTTGGGAGGCCAGGTATACAGGGAAGATGGGGGCGTGGGGTTCATGGCTCCTGGGACCCCTCGGGGCCACCCTCACCTCCTGCCGTCGCTGCTCCTTCTTGAGCTGAGCAATCTCCCGGTTCCTCTTGGTCTCCACCAGCCGCCGCCGCTGCTGCTCCTCACGCATCTGCTTCATCAGGGCTACCTGGATGGGAAGAGGCAGCAGGGATGGGGCGGGGCTGAGGACATTGGCAGTGTGGCAGCCCGGGAGGGGGACAGCAATCATGGGAGGTGAAGTCACCTGGACCATCTCTGGCAAGGGTGGCCACACGGCCAGCCTAACCGTGGTAGGTGTTCTCACTGTCCTACCCTGGTCTGCATGGCTAAGTGTCCCAGCCCCTAGGTCTCTGTCACTGACAGCCCAAGCTGTGGACAGGGCTGAGGTGTAGGTCAGGGACAGATGCTGGGACCAGGTGCACAGAGCAACAGTGAGCAATAGTGAGAACTACTATGCTTTCAGCAGCATCCTAGTGATACTCATGGAAGAGAGGAACTACTGGGGCTGTTCTGAAAATAAGCTCTGGGTGGCTGAGTGTGGTGCCCAGGGTTCTCCTGCCTCCTCAGTCTAGCTTCTTCTCTAGCCTCGGGTGGCACTGAGGCAGGGAGGGCAGAGTGAGAGACTAGCACAGATGGCCTGGAACCCAGGGGTCTCCAGGGTCTGGCCAAAGATATAGAGAACATAGCAGAGCAGCCAAGACTGCCCAATGGGCTGGGAAGCCAGCATCCTGGGGCTTGGCACCCATGATGGCAGACTACACACACAGGACCCTAGATGCCTTCCAGTGATGGCAGGATGGCTACATGGGCCCACGAGACCCCAGACATCACCAGGAATGTCACCCACCTGACAGCTGGGAAACAGCCAGAGAGGGAGGGAGCAGGTGCCAAGGGGCCAGTAGCTGGCAAAGTAGGTTTCCCCTTGGGGGTCAGGCTTTGCCGAGCTGGATCCACAGAGGTCGTCAGGGCACAGAACAAGTGTCCTGAAGGACAGGGACTGGGAAGACCAAGTCATGCCCTTGGTGAAATGTGGCCCTGAACACTCCAGCACAGTGGGAGCTAGGTACTAGCTGGGGCTGGGGGCGGGGGTCTCTCCCAGAGTCAGGGGTCCTGGACTGCCATGTTCCCCCTGGTCCCAGGCCCATCTGCCCAGCAGTGCGCATGTGGTCCAGCTTTGTGGAGGTCAGCACAGACGTGACCCTGCTGGAACAGGTGCCGAGATGGGCCATGGCTCCCAGGCCAGCGCTGTGCCACGGATCTGAAGCAGAAGGCACAGAGCCCTCCTCCTAGGACACCCTGTGTCGGCGTCCCTTCACCCCTGGTCCTGTGATTCACTGGGGCTCCACTGTGGTGGCAGATTCTTGGACACAGCCTCTGGTGAGGCCCTGGAATGCTGTACCCTCTGTCCTGCCAGTAGACAACTTGGGCTCCTCCCTTAGGATGACCCAAAGATGTCTGTTCCCATTCCAGTCCCAGGCTCACAGTCACAGGGTCAGAGTGGGGCCCTGGAGGGAGGGTCTCAGAGATCCTGAGTGACACACACATGTGTATGTGGGTGCTTCTGATACCCAGCACACCAGGGGTATTCAGTTATTTCCATCGTCAGCTGAGCAGGGGGTTGGCGGGGCTGTGTAGTGCCACCCTAAAGAGGCACTGGCTAGGGACATCCAGGGTGACAAAGCAAGGAACAGAGGCAAGAGGAACAGCTATAGAAAGTGTAGGCCCCAGTGAGGGTACAGCTATACTTGGGGGCAACCAAGGCCTTCTGGGCTCTCTGACCACACCACCAGAAGGCGCTGTAGCCCAGGGGAACTGCAGGTACTTGAACTCCTAGTCCCGTCAATGGTGTTTTGTCCACAGTGTAGACACAGGGGAAGATGAAATGGGGTTCTTTGGGGTCAGCCCAGGCCAACTGAGCACAGCAAGGTAACACTGCTGGAACACCTGCACCTGGGGTCTGGGCTTGGGGACACCTGCCCAGGTAAGGGAGCTGGGCTGCAACGACAGCTATAGGCCCATCTGCTCTCGGAATGTCTGTCAGCCAGCACCCCTGCGCCTCCTCTTGCTCACTGGTCAGCGCCAGTTGAGTGGACAGGAAGGTCAGTGATACAGTTGCTGATGGCTCTGGGGAGTGGGCCTCTAGAAGCTCACCTTTCCTTTCTGGCCTGCTGCCCAGACAGACCTCACAGTCTGCTGGGGCTGTGCTAGGGATCCAGGGCTGTAGGTAGCTGGGCTACGCCAGGGGCTATGCCAGGGGCTGGAGGGCAGAGAGGGCAAGCCTTGAAGGGAGACTGGGTCTGCTGAACTCTGAGTAGGATCCAGGGCAGCCCTGGGTGCTGGACACAAGACTCGCACTCTGAGGAAAGGTGGCCAGGGCCACTCCAACACATAGTGGTTAGGGGTACAACATGACCTCCTGGCAATGGGAATTCCCTTCTCTGAGCCTCACCTTCCCATGCACAAAGTGGGAATAACCACCAGACTCCATTTTGGGGTTCTCCAAGGGCCTTAATGTGACCATACCTACAGTCTTTAACCTGGTCACAGAAAGCCTTGGAATAACAAAATTCTCATGGTGATACCAGGCCTGGAAGAAGACAGAGGGACCTGCGGACTAGCTTCCCACCACAGGGGCAGCACTGAGCAAGGAATCCTGAGAAAGGCAGCAGTCCTGCACAAGACCCCCACATATAGCCCTTTATGGCACACACACTACAAGGGGACACGGACTCAGCTAAGAGGCTGGTGTTCAGGGTCAGGTCAGGGTTGACCTGGCAATGGTGTGGGCCCAGGATATGACAAATGATTGCTTTGAATACAGCAAAGGATCTCTAGGATGACATAGCAGGGTCACGCCTTGGCCACTGCTGCAGCCCCTCGGCCCCTACCTTGGCCTTCTTCATCTCAGCCACCTCGGCCTGCAGCTTCTTCAGCTCCCGCTCATAGCGTGACTGATTCTTGAGCAGCCGGGCATGCTCCTTCTGGGCTGCCTGCAGCTTCTGCAGGTCCCGGTTCATCTCCCGCAGCTTTTTCTCGTAATCTGCCTTGATCTTGTTGGCCTTCTCCTCCGTGTAGCACTCCATGGTGCCTGAGAGTGGAGGGAGGCACGGTCAGGGCCAGCTGTGCCCCATATGCCCGCCCTCCAGTCGTGTTGCACAGCTTTGGCTAAGTCACAGCTCTCCCAGAATCTGTTCCTATTTCTGTGAACCATGAGTAGGCTAGGATGTCCCTTTTTGCTATGACATTCTGCTGGAACGTCAGGGGCCGGCTCCAGCTCCTGAGTCCTTGTTCCCCAGCCTCCATGAGGACCTTGCAGCCCACTCAGTGGTAACTATGTTTTGCCCCAAGATACCCGGTGGAGACAGGAGCTGGGGCTAATGGGAAGGAGAAGAGCTGGCAAGACAGTGAGGTGGGCCCAAGCAGCAGGGAGAAGCTGACCCGTGGCGACCTCTGCTTCCAAAACTTCCAGACGCCTTCTACTGAGCAGGTGCGGCAGGAGGTGCCCCTCCCCACCTCTGGAAGCAGCAGCCCTGTCTTCCTGGAAGCAAATGCCTAGGCTTCCTGGGCCTCCTCCCCACTCCAGTTCCCAGCCAACCTCAGCAAATCCTTTAGGTTCAACCTGTACCATTCATCCTGCCACCTCCTACCATGGCCATCTCTTCCGGGATCTCCCAAGTGAGCTCCAGCCCCGACTTTTGCTCCCCTACATGACACCCCAAGTGAGAGCCTAGAAATGCTTCTCCATTTCCCATCACCAACATTTCTCAAAAGCCCCTGGCCTTCCCCGCATCTTGCTTAGGTGTTTAAGGCAACGTCCTCACAGTGACCTGGTCACTTGTCTTTGGAACAGGACAGGGTCCCATACTTCTCTGACCCATTATCCCCTTTCACCATGATCTCAACCATTCTGGTACCCTGGTCATCCTGCCAGCACCTCCGGAATGTGCCCACCCACAGCAGGGCAACTTCTGCTTCCTCCACCCAAAATGTCCTTGCCCTGCCACATGGCCATCAGGTCAGTGCCAAGGTCACTTCTCAGTGGACTCTCCTTTGGCCAGCCTTTCTAAAATGCCACACCATGCCCCGGGGCTCCCTATCCCCTTTCCTGCTGTGTTGGTTTTTTCTTTTTTCTTAATACTGGTCATCCCGTTTCTTCATTCTGGTTATGTCTGGGTCTCTCCACCACAGGGATTTGGCTCAACCCAGTCTCTCCTGTACCCAGAGTATCGCTTGCTGTGCAACGTGTGTTTATCAAATGTTTGCTAAATAAACAGCAAGGGATGAATGGGCTGCAGCACAGCAGGAGGCAGACCGACCATGGACTAGAGGAACAGACCCTAAGCACTGCAGGCAGGCAGCACCTTGGACTGCCATGCCCAGGCAGGTAAAGGATTCTAAGATGTTAGGTGACAGGAAAAAGCTAAAAACCAGCCAACTGCACATGTGGCAGGAGAACGACGGTTGGCCACATGAGCTTTTATCTGGGGGCCAGAGCGCCGAGGTGCCCTGATCGGGGCTGGGGCCGGGCTCACTGAGGTTCTGCAGCACGCGATCCCGCTCCAGCTGTGTGTCGCGGATTTTATTCTGCAGCAGGATCAGCTTCTCTTCATACTGGTGCTTGAGCGTCTGCAGCCGTCGCTGGCTGTTCTCCAGTTCGTCAATTAGCTTCTGCTTGATTTCAATTTCGCAGGTCAGGTCAGCCAGGTCTGCCTGGAAGTTCACCTCTGCCAGCAGAGAATGCAGCCCAGCTCAGCCCTGCAGCACAGCCTGCAGGCTCAGACTGGGGCTTGCCCATCAGCTGTGGCCGCTCAGCGGAGAGGAGGGGAAGGGAGGATGTGCTGCCATCAGGGCCGGGGTTACTGAAAGAGGAGCCCTGGAAAGGCAGGGCCTAACCCCAGAAGAGGGTCCACCTGTTGCGGAGGTGGGGGTGGGTGAGAGGACCAGGAGCACCGGGCTGGAATGTGGGCCAGAGCGGCCGAAGAACAACAGGGGGTTGGCACCAGCCAGGCCTCTCTTGGAGGCCCAGCTCTGCATGGACCAAACGAAGGCGGAGCCTGTGTGGGGCGTGGCGCTCAGTGCTAATCACTGTTCTCCTTGTCACCAGTTTCCGGTCCCTAGACAATCATTCCAACAGGGCCTGACCCCCATCTGGGAGCACTGCTTGGGACTTTTCTGGGGCCAGTGCCGACTGATGCAGGTTTCACCCCTCCCTACCTCCCAGCCAGGGCTACGCACCCTTCTCCTCGGGGTCGGAATCAGAGTCCACCAAGCTCTCCTCACTGCCCGAATCCTCGTCTTCATCCTCACGCCCTTCCTCCTCCTCACAGCCACTCTCGTCTCGCTCTTCCTCCTCCTGGGCACCAAGCACCATGAAGGCTGGGCCTGGCCTCGGGGAAAGGGGCCTGGGAGCAGAGGCTGGTCCAGACCCAAGGCCTCCCTTGTGCCCGGAGGGTAGAGATGGCAGCTGGCCCCTCTGCCACGTCCCCAGTGGACAACACCACCTCCCCCAGGAGCCTTGGCAGAGTCCTCTGGGACAGCCATCCTCCGTGCATCATCCATTTGGGATGGCCAGCAACACGGCAACCAGTCAGTGTGATCAGGAAGGCCAAGGACCCAACAGATGCAGACCCACCCCTCCTCCACTGGCGCAAGGCCACACCGGGCACCTGAGCAGTGTGGAGCTGGCAGGGGGTGAGTGCGCAGTGAGCAGGGGGTGTGGCCTCACCTCTTCAGCCTCGTTCTCGTCAGTCTCCTCACTGTTGTCCTGCTGGAGCTTCGCTCTCTTTTTGAAGGCTTCTTTCTCTGGGCTGCTTTGGGGGAGCAAAGGGGAGGCCAGATTAGGGATCAACTGAGCCCCGAGCACCAGGGTAGGAGGAGGAAGGCTCTTGCCTGGGATAGGACCATGTCTTTACTCTGCAGAATCAGGCCCACAATTACTCATGGCTGGGGAGGAAGAAGGAGGGGGTACACTGATGGGAGGCTGAGCTAATTTGCTCCACGGATTCCCAGGCAATCCTGGGGGAGCCATGGGGATCAGGGGAGGTGGTGGCAGCATGCTCACCTTTTCCTGCGCTGCCTGACTTCCTTCTTCTTGAGCCGCTCCAGGTCCTGCTTGGCCCTGCGGATCACCTCGGAGGCATCCTCCATGGAGCTGGCTGGGCTTCCGAGGGCTGGGCCGCCTGGAGACGCTCCCAGGGCGTAGGGGCTGCGAGCAGAGGCCCGCGAGAGACTGCGCCGGAGGGACTCATTCATGGCCTCGCTCTCCAGCAGCTTCGTCCTGTGTGTAGAGGGAGAGGTGAGTGGGCGCTGTCTTTGGCCTGCCCTGGCCCAGGTTTCCACCCCACCTCTACCTCTGGCCCTCCCTTGTGGCCCACACTAGTCAGGGCTCACCGCAGCTCCTCAATCTCCCGGATGTAGTTCTGGATCAGAGCACCAATGGCCTCGTTGCCATCACCTGTGGATGGAAGGGCCAGAGGGGGGAACAGTGAACAAGAGAAACAGCAACAAGGACCTTCAGCTCTGCACCTGAGCCCTGGGCCTGCACCTTCAGCAGGGTGAGCGTGGGAGCCTTTTCCAGAATGAAAGCAACAGCCCAAGGGGAACGTGCACAGGTGCACACAAGCACCTGACAACAGCAGGAAAACGGAAACGAGCCAATGATCCCAAAATCCACCAGAGGGCGCTGCTATGCCATAGTCTCATCATTGTCTCTAATGGAACACCATGATATATGTGGCTTCAAAACAATTAAATAGATATTCTTTTTTTCCCATCATTTATTTATTTATTTATTTATTATTTGGAAAGCAGGGAAATGGAGAGATAGCTGTCTGCTGTTGTACTCTATAAACAGCCACAGGAGCTGGGGCTGGGCCAGGCTGAGGTTAGAAGCCAGGAATTTTGTTTTTCAAATAAAAGTAAATATTTAATAAGTATTTCAAATCAATAAAAAAATTTTTTTAAATGTAGTGTAAATGCATATTATGGAAAAACTATGCACAGATTTTTAAAGATCCACCAAAATAAAGTTACTTTGTCATCTTGTTTCCCAAGAACTCTGGAAGCACCATCAAATAATTTCAAACACAGAAAAAGTAGCATCTATTCACACACACACACAACACAAGTGCACTGAGAAAAGTGCAAAGTGCCAGGAGACAGCGTCATGTTGCTCTCTGCTGTGGGAGAGCAGAAAAGCTGCAGGGTGGAGAGTTTGTGAGAAAAACTCTGATCTCTCCCTTTCTGTGTGGAGTGCCTCTGTCACGTGTTCACACAGACCGTGTGTTTCAGGCCCAGGCATTGAGCCCGGCAGCTAAGATGCCGGAACCCCACCCCACCCTGCAGGTACTGGAGTGCCATGCCCGGCTTTCCTCCCGACTCCAGCTGCCTGCAAACGTGGAGCCCAGCAAGCAGTACTGACGGTTCAAGTAGAGGCTCCTTGCCACCCATGTGGGAGCCACGGGCTGCTTGCCTCAGCCCTTAAAGTTGCAGCCATTTGCAGAGTGAACCAATGGATGGAACTTCTCTCTTATTTTTATTTTTTATTTATATTTATTTTTAAGATTGACTGATTTATTTTGAAAGACATAGATAAAGAAGAGACACAGACACAGATCTTCCATCCCATGGTCACAATGGCTGGGACTGGGCCAGGTCCAAGCCAGGAGCTTCATTCAGGTCTCCCGCATGCATCCTAGGGCCCAAACACTAGGGCCATCCTCTGCTGTTTTCCCCAGGTCATTAGCAGGAAACCAGATTGGAAGTAGAGTGGCCAAAATTGGTGCTCATATGGGATGTCGGAGTTGCAGACAGCAGCTTTACTCACTGTGCCACAACACTGGCCCTAACTATACTGAAAAATCAATTGGAAAAAAATTTGCAAAAATGAGGTGCTCAGCTCACGGGGTGAATGGCCTAGCCACTCAAGGTTCTGGGGTGGGGAAGCGGGCACAGGGCCCGGCTCCAGGACACTCTGAGCTGGCCTTGGACACCCAACTCACCGGCCTTGGCCAAGAGCAGGTTGGCCTCCTGGCTCATGAGCTGGGTGACACGATTGTTGATGGCGTCGATGGCCTCCTGCATGGCCTTCACCCGCAGCCGCAGTGCCCCGTTCTCCTTCTGTAGCATGGCGTTCTCCTGGAACAGGTCACTGTAGCCCTCAGCACCGTCCTCCCCAATCACGCGCTTGCCCTGGGAGGAGGAGCAGATGTGAAGCAGGTTGGCACTGGAGCTCACGGGATGATGGAGACAGTGATGCCCCCTTCAAGTGCCCTCCCTTGCCGTGGATGGGCAGAACTGCCGGCCTCCTCTGCTCCAGGTTTCCCAGAACCCAGTTCTGTTTTGCTGTTGCTCAGTAAGTTCCTATAGCTCTCCCCGACAACAGGTCGAAATTCTGCACAACCGTTCACAGCTCTCCACAAGCCCCACCCTCCCCACCAAACATGCGCACTTCTCCATAAACGCTAATCCAAGGGTCAAACTTCATGTGGACCATGAAGTTAGCATAAATGAGTGACTCAGTTTGATCAAACTTACTGTGGTGGAAAGACCTATTACTCAAAGTACAGCTTCTTTAAGTCAGAGTCTACAACACGGAGAGGAGCTGACTGTAGCTAACAGGCAGATTTTCAAGGGGGCAGCCACCTTAGTGCACATGGTGTCAGTTCTCCACATTTTCTAGAAAAACTGAACCTTTCTGATTTCTGGGAAGGATGAGAGGGAAAGTATTGTGGCACTGCAGGTTAAGCTGCCTGCAACCCATAGCACAGTGCAGGTTCAAGTCCTGGCGGCTCTGCTTCTAATCCACCTTCCTGCTGATGGACTCCGGAAGGCGGCTAATGATGACCCAAGTACCCGAGTTCCTACCACTCATGTGGGAAGCCCAGGTGGGAGCTCCTGGCCCAGCCCTGGCTGCTGCAGGTGGGAGCTCCTGGCCCAGCCTGGCCCAGCCCTGGCTGCTGCAGGTGGGAGCTCCCGGCCCAGCCCTGGCTGTTACAGGCACCTGGGGAGTGAAGCAGCAGGTGGAAGGAAAATCTGTCTGCAGCTCTCCCTCTCTGTCACTGTGCTGACAATTAAGGTGCATTATTATTTTTTAATTTTATTTTTATTGGAAAGTCCAATATACAGAGAGGAGGAACAAAGAAGATCTTACATCTGCTGATTCACTCCCCAAGTGGCTGTAACAGCTAGAGCTGTCCTGGTCCAAAGCCAGGAGCCTAGAGCCTCCCTCTGTGTCTCCCACTCGAGTGCAGGGTCCCAAGGCTTTGGGCCATCCTTGACTGCTTTCCCAGGCCACAAGCAAGGAGCCGGATGGGAAGTGGGTTGGCCAGGACACGAACTGGTGCCCATATGGGATCCCAGAGCATGCAAGATGAGGACTTCAGCTGTTAAGCTACCATACCAGGCCCTAAGGTACATTATTTAAAAAAAGAGTATGAGCCAAACAAAAACCCATCTGGCACTAAACACAGGCCATGGCCACAGGTGGTGATGTCAGCCTTGGTTGTGTGAACTCACACACTTTCTCTCAAGCACTCAGGGTTTCTAATCCTTTGTGTATGACATGTTCTCCACCCAGAATGCCTGCCCGCCCCCGCTTCCTTCTGTTAATACTCCATTCATTCTTCAAAGCCCACAAAAGGCCCCTCCTCCATGAGGCCCACTGTGTGTGAGGAGGCCAGTGCTCTCCTCTGCCCACCGCAGCACCTGGGACTACCCCACGGTCCCTTCCAGCAGTCACTGTGCACCATGGCTTGGCGATCCTGTTTCATGCCAGCCCTGCGTGTCCAGCAGACACAAGAGTACCTTAGATGGTGTTGGCCCAACCCCCGACATCCAGGTAAGCATGGGGCTTCCCCCTGCCTAAACTTGGCATTCTAAGCATGCCAGGGCTCAGTCTGCGCTGGCGGGAGTGCTGGCTGGCACCCAAGGGTGAGGGGTGCTCACCGCCTTGTACTCCATCAGTTCCATCTGCAGACGGGCGATCTCGGCTCGCAGCGCGCTGATTTGTTGGCTTGTCTTGTCCTGGTTCACCACCACTTTGTTCTTGATGTTGCGGGCCCGGTTGGCGTACTTGAGCGTGTTCAGGGTCTCCATGAAGTCCCGGTCTGAGGGGCTCACGCAGGCGATCATGATGGTTTGGCTAGGGGTTGCAGCCAGGCCAGCATGAAGTTGAGGACACAATCGCCTCTGCTCGTCCATCCCCACCCCTGCCTTAATGCTGGAAGAATTCAGCCCTTCACAGGGGCAGAACCCACCATGTGGGGCTGGGACTGGCTACCTGTCCAGGAGGTGCCAACCCGGGGTAACTCCAATGAAGGCAGGTAACAAGGCTGGGGAAGGGGTGATGGGTAACTGCCACAGTTAGTTATAAGCCTGAGTCACACAGCCCTTACATTTTTCTAACGCTTTCCATCTGTCATCTCATTTTGGGCTGTATGACTTCCTATTGTGCAGGTTAAGGAAACTGAATTTGGCCAAAGGCCATGGAGCACTTCAATCCATCCTCCCCAGGGTCAGGATGCAGCAAACCCTCATATCTGTATTCTCTAGGAGCCCCCCGCCCCTTCCCCTTCCCTGGATGCTGCCCCCAGCAGCCCCCTGCCCCCACCCCTTCCCTGGATGCTGCCCCCAGTAGCCCTCTGCCCCCACCCCTTCCCTGGATGCTGCCCCCAGCAGCCCCCTGCCCCCACCCCTTCCCTGGATGCTGCCCCCAGTAGCCCTCTGCCCCCACCCCTTCCCTGGATGCTGCCCCCAGCAGCCCCCTGCCTCTGCCCCTTCCCTGGATGCTGCCCCCAGGTACCTGTTACCCCCCAGGGAGTCCTGCAGGAGCCGTGTTAGTTTGGAGTCCCTGTAGGGCACATGCACCACCTTCTTGCTCTGGTCGCCAAGGGCGCTGATCACATTGCCCAAGGCCAGCTGTGGGAGACAGACCCTGTCACTCAGGATCATACACATGGCAGGGGATGGGAACTCCCAGATCAGCTCCCTGGCCCCAGTGGCATTCATACTGTCTGGTGAGGTCATAGGCTGATGTGAGCTGGTGACATTGGGATATTGGAGGTGGGAGGAGGCTGCAGGATGAAGGGCCAGAGACCTTACAGGAGTGATGCCCAGGGAGTAAGGTACCCAAGGAGGGCCTGGGCACTGCAGGGTCTTGCAAGGGTCTGATCCCAAGCCAGGCTGCTGTTTGGGGCTGGGGCCCACCGTGTGCTCACCAGGCCACAGTTGATGGAGATGCCCTCTTTGGCCCGCTCGCCGGTGGCTCCTGTCCGCTTCAGGCGCTCTGAGCCAGCCAGGTCCACGAAGTGAAACTTAGCGGTTAGGGTCTCATACTCACTCGCAGGCGCTGTGCCCTCAGGAAGCCCAGGTATGGCCTCACCACCCTGCAGCAAAGTTTGGCACCTAACTGTCCAGCTCTTGGCCCACCTGGCCTCAATGCTGGCAGGGAGTGGGCCACACCTGCCCTGGGCCTCCTTCCCCTTGCATGCTCAGTACCCACAGTCCCCAGCTAACTCTCAGTGACTGGTCCCAATGCAGCAAAAGAGGCCATCAGATCGCCACTGTGTGGATGTGGGTAAGCAGAAAACTCAACTAGTGGCAGAGGCCAGCCTCGGCTCTGGTGTGCTGGCTCTGTACCCACACTGTGCCCTCTGCCAGTCTTGGCTCCTGGGTTTCGGGCAGGGGGCTCCTTACCAGGTCGGGCTGGGTGCACAGGCGCATCTGGCACAGGTGGATGGTGAAGATGGCGTGGGAGCGTGAGCTCTGCACGTTCATCTGGGTGCTGGCCGTGGTGCGTGACAGGGCGCCCTGCTTCAGGCACTGGATCAGCTGGGGGTGAAGGCAGAAGGCAGAAGGCAATACTTGGGATCCGACCTTTCCCTAGCACCGCGTGCCTGCCCGGCCCTCTAGTGGGAGCTCACCTCCTCCTGTGAGCTGATGAGGCGAGATGTAACGCCCGTGGTGTAGATGCCGCCATTGGCGTCCTCGTGGATCTTGATGTTGGACCTGCGGTGGCGGGCATCAGGGTCGCGGGTACTGTCAAACAGGTCAAGGATCTCCTCGTTGTAGAGCTGCGGCGGGGAGGAGACAGCTCCTGGGCATTCCCACACTCACGCTCCACCCCACAGATTTGCAGACTGATGCATCACAGGTCCCCAACCCTGGGCCCCTTGGGTGTGAGTTCTACCACCTTTCTCCTGGACAGGGGAGGGAGAGCTGGGCCTTGGGCAGAGCTGGCCTGAGGCTGTGCCCTGCTCCTTGGCTCTCCAAGAACCACCTTCCAGCAGCCCTTGGTCCCACCTGGAGTTGAGGAAGCAGGACCCTGACGTGGGTAAATGCTAATAAGTCTCTGAGAAGGGAGAGAGGAAATGGGGCTGTGATTTAACTGAGGGAGGGTAGAGGTAGGCCCTGGAGGAGACCAGAGCCACCCTACCCTGATCCTTGTTGTCTCCAAGGGCTGAGGTGAAGACAAGCCCTCAGTGGTTGCACCTTGCTCTGTGCTGGTTCCGGAGAGCAGGCCACTATCCCCACACCCTCCACTGCTGTAGCCTCCTGCAGGCCAGGAGCAGTCACACCATCTGGGGGTGGGGGAGGAGGCAGCCATGCAGATTCCAGTGCTTTGGAAGCACTGGCTGGGACAGGTCCACGTACTAAGGGGCTGGACATCCAATGGGCAGAGTTGGGTCATGGAACAGGAAAAGGATGGAAGCGGTGTGGGAGTTAGATCTTGTTGGCCCGTTGGGCAGGGCGGGTGGGAGATGGCAGCCCTTGGACATCCGAGGCTTTGATGGCCTTAAAGGGACAGAAATACCTCACAGGAAGGGGAAGAGGAAACAGAAGGGGGACAGATGGGTGCTGAGGCGTGTGTCTGTCTGCATTGGGATGGCGTATTTAACCCCTTGGGGCTCACTCCAGGCCATTAATTTTCCAGGAACTGGCCTGTTCTTTGAGGGAAACCCACAGCAAGGGGTTGGAGAAGGGAAGAAAAGGAAGAGACGTGAGAGGAAGAAAGCTGACGGGAGACGGTGCAGCTGGATGCACAGGCGGTGTGCACTCTGGAGTCCCTGGGGGGATAGAAGCAAGGTAGGGCATGCACAGCTTGAAGAGGGAGGTCACACTCCCACAGCTGAGGGCTGCCGGGGTACCCTCAGGGCTCCAGGGTTGCCAGGGTCCTCGGGCTAGGGTTAACAGCAGCCCTGGAAGCTGTGCCCTAGAGAAGCAGCTGCTAGAGTAGGCAGAAGTGCCCACCATCCCAGAAATCCTTCCCTGACAGGGGGAACAATGGCCTCTGCGGTTACTGAGCTTGAGATCCGACAGGTCTAGGGGTCAAAGAACTCAGAGGTGCCTGCCTGACCTTGAAAGGCCCTGGCTGCCACATCCCTGTGCGCTCCCAGGGCCAGAACGAGGCCAGATGCCAAGAAGACCCTTTTCTCTAGGGACCCTGCCCTCCTGTAGGCAGAGGCCCCAAGGGGTGGAGCAGGCCACAGTCAGGAAGCGACGGACCAGGCTGCTTGGATGCAGAGGGGCCTGTGAAAGCCAGAAGGGAGGGAGCATGGGCCTCACCAGGCACTACCATCTGAATCAACAGTGGCCCCAGAGGAGAGAGGATCTGTTCAAAGTCTCTTGGCTCGAAGCATCACAGGTAGAATTGGTCAGGAGGGGCATCACTCAAGCCCCATGGGAACAGAGAGCCTCATGGGGTGTCCCTCACCTATAAACACCCCTGGGGCTCCTCATGCTCCCCACACAACCCTCCCACAGTGGGAGGAGGGCCAACTTCCATGTCCCAGGCCACAGTACCTCCAGGAACTGAGCGCTGACTTTGAATTCAGGCCCGGGCACGCCCTGTTCCTGTGCCCGCCGCTTGCGCTCAGCAATGCCTCCAAAGAGGTGGGCGATGGCCCTCGGGATGATGCCCTGCTCCTCCTCCGATGTCGCCATGTCGAAGCCCGTGCCCATAGTATATGTCTTCCCAGCTCCTGTCTGTGTGGTAGAGGTGGAAGAAGGGTGTCACCCAGGACCTTCAGGGGCCCTGTGTGTCAAACTTGCACCCCTCTTGGTCCCAAAGCTAGGCATCCCTCTCCCTAGCACTCCTTGCTCTGCTTGCTGAGGCAGCATCCTCAGACAGCAGACAGACTGCACGGCTCTAAAGGTAGGGCTGTCACCCTGATCAGGCTGAGGTGCAGGGACACCAGGAGAGGGATGGGCCCTGGGGAGAGTGAAGGGGACTGACCTGCCCATAGGCCAGCACTGTGGCATTGTAGCCCTCGAAGCAGCCCTCGATGAGCTTGCTCACACAGGTCGAGTAGATCTGCTCCTGCCAGGTGTCCAGGTCGAAGACAAAGTCATAGGTGAAGGCCTTGTCCTTCCCCAGGAGGACCTGGGGCTCCCCCGGGGTGACGGAGGTACAGATGTGACAGCCCTCAATCTTCTCCTTTGACAGCTGGGGCCGGATCCTGCCCAGGAACAGGGAGAGCCCAGTGTGAGGCCCAGCAGGGGGCGCTGAAGGGCACCGCTGCTGGCTCTACCCTTCCATGGCAGAGTGAAGGCAGGCTGGGAGTCCACGGGGACCAATAGTAACAATGGCCCCCTCACTGGGAAAGCAGCTGCTAACATGTGCCCAGCATTCAGTGCACACCGGATCCGCATTAAATGTGGTTGCTGTAAGCAAACTCACAGGATCTTCACCATAAATCTGTGCCTGATTTTATGGATGAATGCGCAGGCTGTGAGAATGTAACAGAGTTGCCCCAGGGTGTTTGGTGTAAAGTGGCCAAGCCAAACCCAGCACTGGGCAGGAGAAAAAAAGACAGTGTGCCTGCTCCTGAGCCAAAGTGAGGCTCAGAGGGCCAGGCGTGGCCACTCTATCCAGCTCCCAGTCATGTTCCCCAGGGCCAAAGTTCAGCTCCTCCAGGGCCCCTGCGGCCAACGAGCCCCCCACCCCCAGCTCCTCAGATGCCATAGCCTGGCAGACCTTCTCAGGAGCAGACCAGACACAGCTCTGGCAGCCCCAAGTCAAGGCCAAGAGTCCCCGTTGGAGTGGGGACAGACGGCAGGACAGCCAGGGCACAGACCCGTATCCCCAAATTCTCGAAGCCCCAGCTCCCCAACCTTGCCAGCCTAGACACAACTGCCTCATTCAACTTCCTCTTCCAAGCAGCCAGCACGAGGTCCCCTTGGCAACCAAGTCGGAGTCCCTGGGCATGCTTGTTGGGGGCTTGGCAAAAAGTACCCCAAACCCTGAAGCAGAAGGGAGTGGGCTAGGTTCTGATGCCCACAGGCTCACCCGAGCCAGCCCTGGCAGGGCACTCACAATGGGCTGCCTGTCTGGTTTTCACTCCTATGCCAGCATTTAACCAAGAGAAGAACTAGAGGGGCCGGGGCCAGCGTCCATCAGAAGAGGATTGTCCTGTGTCCAGCGCTCACTTGCTTATAGCTGCGGGAGGTGCTGGCCTGTGTGGGCTCTCTCTGCACTTGGCTGAGATACAGGAGCTGGACCAGTGGGAGGAGTCCTGGAGGCCGTCGGGGGAGCTCCCCTAGGCTAGTCCCTGCCTCCAGATGGGAGACCACGTGCTTTTCCTGAGGCGAGTACAGGTCCCCGCAGGTCAGAGACTCTTCCCACGAAGGCCAGCTGAGCTGGGCCGAGGTTTCCCCCTGCAGGAATTCCTGCCTGGGAAGGGACCAGATGGATCCTGTGCATCCCCTCAGGACCTCTAGACCAGAAGCCTGACTCCTGGCCAAGCCTCAAACTCAGTGGGGCTCCGGTGAGACCTCTGCCCTGACCACGAACAGCGGCACAGACCACTCACCCAGGAAGACTATGCACAAGTAGGAGGCCTGTATTAAGCCCAGATCCTCAGTAACGCGCTGGGAGTCCTGCCGCCTCCATTTCTAAGTGAGGAACCTGGGTGGGGGCAGGTCACTCACAGACAGCAAGGAGCCTGTGCATTTGCTGGCCTTGTCATCTCCAGCCCTCCCAGGCTGCTCTGAGGAGCGAGGCTCCCTGTGCCAAGGGCAAGGTATCTTAGACAGACAGGCAGCTCGGAGGGAGGGGTGCTGCACGCAGGCACTGGTCTGAAGTCCCAGGGGAGCCGAGACTCCAGCCGGCCAGCGGCTGTCAAGTCCCCGGTGCTACCCGCTAGCAGCAGCTCCTGAAGACACTCCCCACCACGGGGCTGCTTGTGATGGGATTTCTGGATCTAATTCAAATGGCATTTAATTACAGCAGGCGGATGGCAATGCTGGCAATAGGAGGAAATCGAATCAGCATCTCTGGAGACTGTGAGGGGGTGGGTGGGAGGCAGCAGCACGGCTTGTCAGGACCCTTCAGTGACAGGACCAGCGTCTGCATGTGCAACCAGCCACCAGCCCACCCAGGGAGCCTGCCTGCACACAAGAGCAGTTGAGACAGAAGAGGTAGGGGAGGGACCCAGGGTGTTAGGGTTCAGGAGTGGTGGGGCTAATCAGGCATTCACCTTGGAATCCCATGTTGGTCCAGCACATCCTGAAGGGCAGAGCTAGCTAGCCAGTCCCATGCTGGTCATTTTAAGACCAGGGTCTTTGCTAGGGTCCAGGTGGGTGAGCAGTGTCACCTAGACAAATGGGAACCACTGGGAGATAAAGGACACAGACCCCAGGGCCCGGCACGGTAGCCTAGTGGGTGAAGTCCTTGCCTTGCACATGCCGGGATCCCATTTGGATGCGGGTTTTAATCCCGGTGGCCCCGCTTCCCAACCAGCTCTCTGGAGACCCAGAAGAGGCCTCAGGCTCCTAGCTTTGGCCCAGGGCAGTTCCAGCCCTTGTAGCCACTTGGGGACTGAATCGTCAGATGGAAGTTATTTCTCTCTGTCTCTCCTCCTCTCTGTGTATCTGACCCTGCCAGGCTACCCTATCCACATGCAGCTGTGAGCTGGGCTAGTCCACCTCCATTTTCCAGGAAGGTGGCTGGGCTTTGAGGTGGCAACTTAACACAGAAGAGTGGACATAGCAAAGTGGCCAGTATGTTCTGCTCTGGCAATGGTCAATGTAATTGCAATTCCCCAGCAGCCTCTCATGCAGACAGCCCTGAGTCCCCACAGGCTAAGGAGATGGCTGGCACCACCTTTTGAGCCAGGGAGGCTCTGTGAGGGGACTCTGTGTGTCCCTCCATGCAGCAGGCCCCACCTTGAAGAGGCAACTGTGTTGGGACAGGTCCTCTCCAAGCCATGAACCCGAGTGAACTCAAAATCCATGCCCTGCACGGGGGACACCAGAGAGCAGGGGCCCTCTCCTGGGGCTCACTACTCCTGCTGGGCCTCTGGGAGCTCCCTTCCCAGTCTGTACTTTCTAAGAACCCCCTCGCCCTTCCCCCTCCAGCAGCCTCTTCTGTTGGCCCCACCCTGGGTGAGGTCACTTTTAGGGGCTGCTCTCAAAGTGGCAGTGGCCCACCAGCTCCAGATAAGGGGAAAGGAGGCAGCCTCCCCAGACAGCAGGGTGGTGAGGGTAGAGCCAGTTGGCCCTGTCCCTCCCCCAGTACTTAGGGATCAGTCCCTGGCCTCTCCCAGCTGAACCCTGAGCCCAAGGAGCTAAGACCAGAGCCAGAAGGAGCGTAAAGCAAGTGAGGTGTCTGACTTCAGGAGGCAAGGAAGAAGCTTGGTGATCAAGATACTGGATAGAGCCGGTGCTGTGGCACAGTAGGCTAAGCCACCCACTACAGCGTGGATATCCCATATAGATGCTGGTTCATGGTTGCTCCACTTCCAATTCAGCTACCTGCTACTGGCCTAGGAGAGTAGCTGAAGATGGATTAGGGCTTGGGTCTCCCTGTGGGAGACCTGGAAGAAGCTCTGGGCTCATGGCTTAGCTCTGGCTGTTGCAGCCATTTGAGGCGCAAACCAGTGGATGGAAGACATCTCTCCTCTCGGTCACACTCTGCCTTTCAAATAATAATAGATGAAAAAATTTTTTTAAAAAGATAATGGATGAATTCCCATTTTTGAAAAATCAAATTGGCAACCTATGGTCCCAGCTGCCTATCACTGTCGACTGCCCAAGCCCAGGGACTCTCTGACTCTCAGCAGAGGGCACCTTCCCCCAAGTCCACCCCTTGTGCACGTCCTGTAGGGAAGGAGGCCCAGGGCAGCCCTGCTCAGAAAGGCCCGGAGCACAACAGAGCTGGACTATTTGTTCCTTGGCAGTGGCAGGCTGAGCTGGAGGAGGAGAAAGGGCCCAGTGCTTTTCAGAGGCAGGATCTGGCACAGCCGGCCCAGGGGTCGCTGGCTTCCTCTGTGCAAGACCAGCCCAGCGGAGGGGGGAGGGGCTGCTGTGATGTGGGAAGCCGCCCCGCCCCCAGGGCTGAGTGGGGGCCAAGGAGGCACTGGCTGCTGAGACGCCACTCCTCCAGACCCCACACAGCAGCTCCCTCCACGGAGTGGCAGCGACAGGGCGGGACAAAGGCCTGAGCCGGGGGCTGTGGGAAGCGCTGAGCTCAGCGTTCTTGGTGGAGCCAGGGCGGAAGGGGGAAGCTGAAGGAGATGGCGGAGGCAGGCTAGCAGGGGCATGGAGAGGCTGCCAAGGAGAGAAAACTCCCTGTGCTGAGGATATCAATGGGCACATCAGGCATGTGCCTGCAGCATGGCCCCAGCTGGCCACTCCTTTGGTTCCTAACTGATTTGCTGGCCATAGCTTTGCCATGAGGCTGAGGCGCCTCCCACTAGGAAGAGTCTTACTTTTCACCGAGAACTGTCCTAGAATCCTAAATAACTCTTACGGAAATGATGCACAGCCTTTGGCTCCTGATGTCTTTTCTCTGCTGGTACTTGACCTTGATTTATTCAACTCGCTCAAAGAACAGCCACCACAATGGCCACACAGAGAGCAAGATGGTCTCATGCTACACACCACCTAG